ACTGTGTGTGGACGGCATATTGCCTTCGACAATCCATAAGCCGTAAACAAGGCCTGTGGGAGTTCCAACGTGAAGTTTCTGCATCCGACGTCGATGGCTCGCGTCTTCGTTTATTTAGTTACTTCGCCAAGCCAGTTCACGGCCAACACGGTGCGGGCGTACCAGACTTTTGAGGCGGTTTCCGCGCTGCCGGCATGACCAGCTGACTGTGGGTCTGCGGAAGTGTATTTATTAATTGATTAAATACACACAGCAGGCATTCAATAAAGTTTTTACCAACCAACCAAACGGTAACGCTTTGCCCGTTTTGTCGCCGATTTCCTTCCGACGAGCCTTTGGCCGGTGCTTTGTGCGCGAACACCGTGGGACCAAATTTGGGTGGTCTCCATCAGACGACCGTTTCCCTGCACGTAAGCAAGCCTCGGGACGGAGATTGAAATGGAAGCCACACATGCTTTCAAGAAAGTGCTTGCCGCACAAACGGTCGTCCCGCGAGGCGACCATGCTTTTCAATCCACGGATATTGTCCACCTTCTGTGCTTTTCAGAGTACTCCGGGAACGTGAGGAAACTCACTCCGCTACTTTTGCAGTATCTTTCGGTGCAATTAACGGCTACGCAGCTTCGCGGCATACTGAAATGCTATGACGCCCATCCAAACCGCGCGCTCTCCTGCCCACACCACCCGGCTCCGGCAAAGTAGGGCAAGGTGTGTCGATGCACGAGGCACGTGAAACGTGCAGCCCTTGGGAAGATCATGACGGCACAGCGCAGGGGGGCTAAGCTCGGCGCGGCGAGATCGAGGCGAGTTCTCCTTCAAACTCGCCGACCGCCGCGATTGGTCGGCGCCGTGCATGACGACACGCGCCGACACTCCCTATAGATCGTGACGTTAAACGGAGGGTTTGAGGCGGTCGGAGAGTTGCATATTCGGAACTCGCGGCGAGATGCGGTGACGTCATTGTGACGTGGCAGAAGCCGCCGCGGATGGGAAAAGCTTGCCGGCTCCGACCTAGGCGAGTTTGGGCGAGTTGGGCGCGAGATCAAGGAGAAGCGTCCAAAATGGCAGCGTTTCCGTTCGCGTTTTGCCGTCGGCATAGGTATTTAAACCATGCCAATGTGTTTGACATGGACGACGTTCATTTTCAACAACACTATCGCCTCTCGAAAGACGTGGTAAGGTGGCTGTGCGATGAACTGCGTGGCGAACCGGGCTTGAGGCGATGGAGCCGTGAATGAACCGTCGCCCCCGTCGTGAATCCTACAGCCAAATTCTACAAAGTGAATCCTAGAAACAAATGTGTTTTTACGGCAATCTGCAATCAGGAACGCAATTTATCATTACCTACAGGCTTTTACAATTATTGTGATGGTTTGCTGCGCTGCGTAGATGCAAGAGAAACGCACTTGATAAGATTTAAACTAAAAGAGGATAGAAGAAAAGCAATCTACATGAATGGCGCAGACTAACAACTGTGTAATTTCTTTCTCATCTTTCTCCCTCCACAGCGTATTTTGACGAAGAAATCGGTCGTTAGTTGTTTATACGGCAGAACATGCCAGAACATGGCGACATTGTTGCCTGTAGATAAGTGATTTAGCCAGTGCGGTACAACCGCTAGCCTGGGGTCTTTAACGTGCATTACGCAGTAGTGATACACGACCGCACGCCGGTGCGATGCTCATTAAGATCGACACGGGCAGGGGTGGGGATTGAAACCAGGCCCCTGGGTTCTGCAGCGCGAGCTTTCGCTCCACGTGCACCCTTTTCTGAAAAACATATTGTGGCTGTGTAGCGACGTGGGGGGAGAAAGATGAGAAAGAAGTTACAGAGTTGTTAGTCTGCGTCATTCCTGTATGTTGTTTTTCGCCTATTCTCTGCTTTAGTTTAAATCTTTATCAAGTGCGTTTTTCTTGCACCTACGCAGCGCAGCAAACCATCACAATGTCTAACCACCTAGCCCATATCCAAACAATATTTTATCATTAGGATCCGTGCTGTTACCGATTCTTATGTCATTTACGATTTAAATAAAAAAAATTGGGTTTTGTGTATGTTTTTAGAGCCTAAAATTTGGTCTGCCTCAATGTGCGACTTGTCTCCCAGCTGTAGATGAGAAATTTAGCCAGTGCAGTACAACCGCTAGCCTGGGGTCTTTGACGTGCACCACGCAGTATTGAGTGGTACATGACCGCACGCCGGTGCGATGATCATCAAGATCCAAAGGGGCAGGGGCGAGGATTGAACCCAGGAGCGGAGCGTAGGGACAAATCGGAGCTACGCTGGGGAACTCGCCGCCGCCGGGGGGGTCGAAAATGTAAGAGGAGGAGTGGGAAACTCGCCGGGGCGGAGTCAAAAGAATCTCCTCCCCTCCCTCGTGATGTCGCATCGGAGAGATTCCCGCCGAAGGCGAGCTTAGCCCCCCAGCACTGAGCTAGATTTCAGACGCCATGAATTTCCCAGAAGGGGCGCGCGGCACGTGCCTCGAGCATTTCTACAACAATGAATGGCGCCACTTTTCCCAGGATAGAAGGGCTTTAGCCCCGCCGAGATCGCAGCGCCGCCGCAGCTCCGCGACGTCAAGCCCGCGTGTCGGTCTATCATACTTGAGTAGTAATTCAATTACAGTCATTGAATTACTGTAATTTAATTACTTTGGTAAATTGTAATTAATTACTTTCTGCTAAAGGGAATTGTAATTGTAATTTAACTACTTTCTGAGTAATTGCAAAATTTCAGGCACAATTACAATTACTTTTGCGAGACTTTGCGGCGCCGACGGACCCTCTCTGAAAGCCTCAGCAATCGCACAAGCGGCCTAAGTGCTCGGAGACACACTAGCACACATAGACACGCACACACGCACGCACAGCAAAAATAATGTGGCGTTACACTGCGGGTCGAGGGACAATACTCTTTGGAACTTACTTCAATGGCGCCGTATGGCGCCAACTGGGCGCGAGCAGAAAAATATAGCGTAAACATGCCAAAATATTGAATGAAAAAAAAAAAAGAAATTGAGCTTCAGCTTTCAGCCGAGGTTGGTTACTTCAATTGTCCATGAAGTTATATTTTTGCCAGTTTCTTACGTTCCTCTTCTAGTACTGTCGCATATTTGTATCTTTGTATTATTTTCAAGTTTATTTTTGTTGGTTTTACTTCGGATATTATTTGCATAACCATTTTGGAGACTGACCACGCACCTGTGAATATTGTCACCCCGATTCGTTTTTTTTTTTTTTATATTTGAGCCATTATAATTTCAGCTCAATGTAAATAATTTACATTATGATGTTTGTATGTAAATGCGGTCGTATTAGCGCGTGTGGGTTTTAGTTTCATACTAACAGTTGTAAAATGTTCATATATGACTAACTGTCGCATTTTTATTTGCCTGACTAACAACGGTCTGTCAGCCCAATTTTTTCTTCAGCGGTCTGACGTCTTCCAGCATATCAACTAATTTATTTATTATTATTATTTGTTAAAAATATAACAACGTAGTACTGCATTGAATTTATGAATTTAACAAAATTCATAAAAGGAAAGTACAATACACGACATTTATGCAGCGATGCCTAAGCCTCCTGAAACATTGGGGCAAGGAACAAACAAATGTGTTGTATTCCATGCAACTCCATTAAAGTTGTATGGTCCAAGTAGGGTCGCTCTCAGAAATAAGTAATTTTAAAGTAATTACATAACTTTTTAAAGGTAATTTATAATTGCAATTACTTTTCACGTCGTAATAATTGTAGTTAAACTACTTTTGAAGCAAAGTAATTGTAATTAAATTACATTTTGAGAGTAATTTACCCATGTATGCCGTCTATGCCTAAACCGCACGAACTGGCAAGGAAGGATGTTCAGACAGGAGACGAGGACGATCGGTTGCTGAGCGTCTGCTGCCGCGGGGCCTCGACCTCCCCCGCGCTCTCGGAGTCGTCCGGGCGGCCCGGGTGGGTGAAGGAAGAGACTCCGCTTCCAGGCACCGATGAAAGACGTTCGCGTCGGAAACCTTTCAATGTACTCTTTGTCATTGTTTTAACCTTATCTTACAGTAATAAAGTCTTTCTTTTACTCGTCACTTTAAAAACGGTGACTTCTTGGACCATCAAGTTAACAAGATAGCCTTCTCAAATTTCACTCGGAGCTTGGCTGCTTCCAACTCTTTAACATGGATGCACTGATGGAAGAATTGTGCAAAAAAACGAACAGGTCAAAAAAAAATTGTGGTCACGGAGTCCCTTCAAAACAATCAATGTGAAAACTGGGATGATGCCTCAGTGCTTGACTTCAGAGCCTTTCTTGGAAACGTGGTCTTAAATCTGAAGCTTGATATGGAGTTTTCACAGTACAGCCTGAACAAGATGCCATCCTTGCCATCAGTCTTCCCTCGGACGAGGTTTTTACGAAGCTTTTGGATGCTCCACGTGTTAGCAGACCTGTACTGTAAGACATGTAGCGAGATCCCCAGCGTTCACCCCAGAGAATGTTTTGAAAATAGTCCACATTGAAATTGTTTTGATAGAGCACGCAAAAAGAAGAGCTCCAGAAATAAACACCATGTTTTTTTTTCTTTTATTCATACTCATAACAGCTCTTTTTCTCTCATAAGTGGTACGCATAATTTCTGATCAAAAGACCTGCAAAATCGTTAAATATTGCTGACCGTAAAGGGTTAAACCTGCTTGTACAGAGCTGCCATGTGTTGTCTCACCATTCCCTAGCACACTTTCAACATGTGGAAATGTAGACGAAATTTTGGCCGTGGTGTTGAAGGCCAACACTTGATCGGGCCTACCACCCCCCTTCCAGTGCGTAGCTTAACATTCCACCATCAATCGAGACGGAAACGAACAGTGCGCGTACACAATTGGCTCTCTCTTACCCCCCCCCCCCCCCCAATTAATCTCCATCTACAACGTCTACACACACACGCGCGGAAACGAACAGCTTTTGGTGTCTTGGGGATTACTATTGCATTCCTTCCGTTTCAGATCCTCCTAGCAACAGACAACACCGTACTAGTCAAGGGGACAAGCACTTGGCAGTTGCTCACGAAGAATAGCTGCTGCCACATTAGCAAGGGTGAGCCTGCCCATGCCGAGCAGCCTTCTTTCACTTGAACTAGAGACTGGTTTAAATGATTGAGATGTGCCAATTCCACTTAAGTGGTTGGCACAATGCCTTACACGTTGGTCACAGTGGTTCTTGCCTAATTTAGGACGCTTTTCTCTTTTTTGTAACACAATTAAGTTAAAATAAGGTTGCCCTCTCTGCAATCGACATTAATGAAATGGGTACAAGTCCCTGTGGAACTTTCATTGCCTGCTGAAACGTGTGTGCACGTGTAGAAAATCGATGCTAACAGAACACCTGATAGCATCTATTTTCTTGTTTCTGTCTTCAGGCGTTTTACTTCAAGAATGTATAAAACCAACTAGCCTAACTTGCCGTCTTAATAGAGAAACATGCTTGTCTCGGTCCCATGCTACAATTGGTGTTAGAGTTATCGTGATCCGATTGCTGCCTCATTTGTGCCAAACTGCTCAGTGATGCTCACCCTGTTACGTTCTGCCACATTTTGTCAGGAAGACGATTTTCTTCTAAGACGGAATAACTCTTGCTCCGCTATATTGCCGAGTTCTTGTGGTGGGCATGTACAGGTCCCGTCAAAGTAAAACGGAGCGCCGGATCGGCGACCGAGCTGCATCGCCGCGCTATCTAGCGACGCCGGCTGGAACTGATAGGCTACATCTGCGCATGCGAACGTGCCTTCCGCTGGGGCCTCCGTTTTCTTCTTCCCACCCACACGTTATCGGTGGTTCGAGTGGCGCAGCGCTCTTCCTAAAATCGACGCATGATAGCACAAGGGGCGGTGCTCATCGACAACACACGCCCCTCTCTCCCACTTGCCTTCAGTGTTACCTCCCCGTGCGAGCCCGAGCCGAACACCTAGCGGCATTTATCGGAACAGCGTTTGGCAGCTCGAGACGCCGATAATACGAGGATCAAACAAGAAAGACGGAGGACACCGCGAACGGCACGCGCGCGTGCGCAGACGGCAGCTATTAGTTGCAGCCGGAGCTGCTAGATTGCGCGGCGATGCAGTTCGGTCGCCGCTCCGGTGCTCCGTTTTACTTTGACGGGACCTGTACACTTATTCTAAACTTTATGATGTTGATTAAAGTAACTTGGCATTCAGTTTCATTCATTTTAAACACTGGCACTCAATGTTTTCTTATTGTTTAGGAGTTAGCTCTGTCGAGTCTCCTTAGACCGCATGGTACAGCTGCACTGTGGGAAAGTACAACCTGCAGAGCAAACATTTTACTGTTAGTTATGTACTTCTGAAGTCTATGTTACCCACATGTCTAATCATGCCGGCCTCTATCTGATCATGCTTGCTCCTCCGGGTGCATAGGATCACCATACGATCGCATACTATGCCCCTAACAATGTTCCGTATTGGCAGTGATAGAGAAAAGCTTCTGAATCGTGGTATATACAGCAGCTGGTTGGTACTGCTTTTTCTGTAGCGGTGGTTCCGAGGCGAGAGCGCCGGCCTACAGATCCCCATATGGCGGGTTCGAATCCCGGCCGAGGTGCCCGCAATCTGACGGAGGCTTATTGCGGAGAAGGCGCCGTGTAACCGAGCTTTCGGTTGCACGTCAAAAGATCCACAGGTGGTCGAAATTAATCCTCAGTCCTCCGCTGGGGCGTGCCAGATTGTGTACGAGTGTATTGGCTCTTTAGACAACTTACAATGTCCTGTGTTGTTTGTGCACTTCGATGCTGCAGTGATGCGAAGCACTGTGCACACCAAAAGTGATTTGTCAGTCTCGTCAACTTGGTATGGATTAAACCTTCAATTTAACAGCGCATAGTGTACAATTCATTACCTCCTGCTTAAGAAATGTCGCAGTGCACCCTTTCTTAATTATTTTATTGCAGCCCTTAAAACAAGACGATTCTATTTCAAAATTCTTCTAGTTGAACGGTGCACCCATGTTGATTCCGGTGCACCTTCTACAACCTACAGATAGGAAGGGTCAATAATCGAGTGTCCCTAGCAACAATAAGACACACTGACCCGGTTGTTACCGCACTGCATTTATCCACCTATTGCAATGTCCTTTCTCTAAAACCTTGCTTTCGCCTCCCAATGTCTAATTATACTGCCAGGAGGTTGTTGCCGTATGCACAAACCAGACTTGTACCGTACGCATTACAAGTAATCAAATTACTTGTAATCGATTACTTTTGGGAGTAATTTTGTAATCAGTTGATTACTTTTATTAGGCAGTAATCACAAGAGTAATCTGATTACTTTTCAAAGTAATAAAATTACTTGTAGCCATTACAATTTGTCCAAGGGACCCCCCCCCCCCCTCCCCCCGGCACACGCTTTTTTTTTTTATGAATTCACAAAAATAAAATTTGTTTTTTTTTTTCGATCGGCAAAAAAGAAAAATTTTTGCGGAGCTGTTGGAAACGAGGTCAATCTCTTGCTATGTACAGTTTCTGTGAAATGTCCGGTTTTGTTTTTTTGTTTTTTGTTTTCGAGCTGGGACTGGGAGTGGGAAGCCCCAGGGAAGCCACAGTGCGTGACAAAGGCCATTCAGGGCGAAGTTTGAGGAAGCAGAATGTAGCTTTGTGAGTCCTTCGTTCAAACTAGCCCCCTCGCGCACACACACACAGAAATAAAAAAAATTAAAAAATCCTGCTTAGGGTACCTACTCGCAGCCCGTAGGAGAACCAGAGCCGAAGAATGCCTAAAGCGGATGCAAAATATAACAAAGGCAGTTGAAATATTTCCCCATTTCCCCTACGTGGTCTTTGTGACAAGCGATGTTTCGAGTTGAGAAGTGGTCGTGGCGATCTCTTCCGCCAATGGATACTACACATGATCCGTTTCAAATCCTGGAGCTGCTGTTCTTTTGTATGACATGCGAGCTCATCCACATGTGAGTAATAAAATGAGCGACGCAAACTTTGAGCGAGAACCCTTGCTCAAGCGAACCCCCTTACTCCCCCCCCCCCCCCTTACTCACACACACACACTGGCGAACGCCCAAATCATTAAACGTCTTCAAACGAATTCTATGCTTGTGTCCGCATTGTGAAAGTGCAACGACCACGAAGAGGGAGCCAGTTTTCAATACTTGTGCAAATGTGAAATATAGGTTGGAAGTAGTTCATTGTTATGAGCGCTAAAGATGTGTCTTCACACAATAAAGTAATCGGAAAAGTAACGATTACTTTTTTAGGTAGTCCAATTAGTTTTGCCGTCGAGTAATCAAGTATTCTAATCGAATACTTTTTAGCCAATGGTAATAGTAATTGTAATCGATTACTTTTTTTAAGTAACGTGTACAAGACTGGCACAAACCCATCTGTTTTTTTTTTTTTTTGTTAGATGCACATGCTCATGCAGTGGTACCAGCTAGCACCAAGCCAGTCATTATGTGCCGTGTACGATTGTCTTGTTTGTGTTGTGCGTATCTTTGACATGCGTGGCATGCTGTCTCTTTCCCAGGGGTGCCTTACTCTGTTATGAACATCTCACATGCACCGGCCGAAGTATGCTTCATCGTGGGAGGGCCATGCTGACTGCCACCTCACACCCGTCACTTTGCGCTTTCCACTACTTACCCACAACTCACTATTTATGCATGATCAGGCCCAATGAAAGTGCCTGATATTATCATATACAGGGTGTTCCACGTAACCTGAGCCAAGGTTTAAAAACATTTAGGTGCATTTTAGAAAGACGAAATTAAAGGAATAAAATTCTTCGTTGGTTGGAGCGAGTCAGACCATTTTTTGTATTTTGTTCAATAAAATTATTAAGATTAATTAATGAACTTTTCCAATTTTCTGTTTAGAGCAAAAGTTTCAATGATAAAGTTGTGCAGCGTCCTCAGAAACATTCAATTCAGTGTTTGTTATCAAGAATCCTCCAACACGGTTATTTTTTTTCTGGGCATCAAAAAAAAAAAAAAAAATAAATACAAATAAAAAATAACCATTTTTAGACCACCTGAGTCTGGGTGGAAGAAACACGACGACGTCTCAAAAGTTTTGAGACGTCGTCGTGTTTCTTCCACCCAGTCTCAGGTGGTCTAAAAAATGGTAAACTTACACCAGCTCGCCTGCGCCCTGTTTTTTCATTAAAAAAAAATAAGCTTGCGAATTACGATGAAAACATGTGACTGCACGCTCGCGCGCCTTGCGTTTCAAACATCGGCCTGGTGCTCTGCTGCTGACAAAACAAGGCACACTGACCACGAGATACGCAACAGCAAATTAAAAAAAAAAAAAAAAAAAAGCCATGGCATGTTTTTTGCGGTTGATAGGGCCAGCCTGTGTTGGCAGTCTTTCTGTGCGTGCTCATCTGCCGCCTTCTTCTATCAAGCGCAGAACACGCCGTGACGTTGCACTTTTTGCGCTGTTTGGTTGGCTCTTCGGCTCATAACATCGGCCGCGCTCGGACCCGCGGTGAAACGGAGTGTAGCACGAATCTGTCAACAGCACCCGGTCCAGCATGCGGGCCACCTTTGAGTGGCACAAAGCACGTAAGTGCAAAGTCACTTTTTTTTTTTTCAATTTGCAAGTTTTTTTTCTTCCCCCTCCCTCCCTCCCTCCCTCCCTCCCCTTCCCTCCCCTCCCCTCCCCTCCCCCCCCCCCCCCCCCCCAAGAAAAGGACGCTGTACACCTTTATCGTTGAAATTTTTGCTCTAAGTAGCATATTTACGAAGTTCAATAATTAATTCCAACAAATTATTGATTTGGGAAAAATATAAAAAACAGCCTGACTTGCTCCAAACAATGAACAAACTTATTCCTTTGGTTCAGTCTTCCTAATATGCACCAAAATATTTTTAAAGCTTGGCTCAGGTCCCGTGGGACTCCCCTTGTAGCTTTGACTTGACAAGAGGTTTTGCACAAAACGGCTCGCAGAGCTCACAAATATGTGTGTGCTTATGTACGGGAAATAAATCGCCTTGATGTATGTATCTTCAATGTCAATATCGCTTTGGGACAAACATGCATCTGTCGATCCTTGTTCATTTCTACTTCACGCTGGTTTGACCGCCTCTGCAGGTCTTCATGATGCACATCGTACATGGATATTGTACTTAAATTTAAGTATTGCGAATAATTTGTAATCGCAATTCATTACTTTTGACATAAAGTAATTGCAGTTGTAACTTAATTATTTTTGGCCTTAAAAATATAGAATTTGAATTACAACTGCAACACACTTTGTATGATTTCTGAGAATACACTGAGCAACATCCGCATCATCGCCCTGCAGGCAACTGTTAGGGATTTTCAGGCGCAGAGATAGCACGAGGGCACCGACTGTGGACACATAGACGCTTTACACACGCGCCAAATTACAGCCGCCATTGCTGACCTTCTCTTGTCTTATCGAGATGCCGAGCTACTGAAACGGTCTTTGGCGATTCTCTACAAAGGCCCATGCTTTAGAAAAGGACACAGTTGAATCTAATATGGCAACAACCTGGCGTGCTATGGTAATGATGAAGTGAAATAAACGAAATAAGAGGAAGCAAAACTGAAGGTCAGTTATGGCGGCGTCCATGCACAGCTGCTGCAAAGCGTCTATAGCTTAGCAACTGCCAGAGCACCCACACAGATGCATGGAAGATGTGCCACATAACGCTCAAGTGTCTTCGATTGTTGGTGTTCAGAAAAAAACCAAATGATACAATGGTGATCTGTCACCGGCTACCCATTTACGACTCATGCCAGTCATCCCCGGAATGATTATGAATTTGACTCTCCATAACATTTTTCCAGTACCTATTAAGCAGAATGGAGAATAAAAATCAAGGTTACGTAAATCACGACTTTATTTGCACCATTTTAGATTTAAATTGGGCGTTTCAAGTAAAACAATAACATAGCGTTTGTTTTACCATTTCAGCGTCTAGAATTTGATTTTTAGATACGCACACACTTCTGCTTAAATATTTGTCAGCAGAGTTCTGCCAAAGGCTAATTATGCGATTTCGAAAAGGGCGTAGCCATACATGCATCAGCATGGAGTTTAAAGAACGGTGCGATTGAATGTGTAGTTGCATTAGTGTACAGTGGCTAGCGATACGATCGCTAGCCACTGTACACACATGCGCAAACGGCGACCGTGCAATACCTACAATCCACGCTACAGCACGGCTACTGTGCGTGCGACGGCGGTGGGGAGGTTTCGCGTCCAGCAAGTGGGTAGACATTTAAACATCCACTGCCGCTTGACCAGTGCTTAAAGTCTCGCACCCGTGGCAGGGGGCACTTTTTGACAAGCAGCTTGCCTTTATAAACTAATAATATGCACATAAAACGCCCGAATAAATCGTGTATCTATGGATTTAGTTTTCCATTTCGCCGCTAGGGGCGCGATGGTTGAACCTAATCCCGAAAGGGGTCTCAGCTGGATCCCCCTTCGAAATCCATGGAGGGTCTGAGATTCCCCGAGATTCCAGAGCGTAGAGCAGAACGGGCGCCTTTCATTGGTCGGCGAGCCGGAACTCGATATCTGCGACCATTCAGTATTTGTGTGCTCTGCGCTACGCCAACCAACACCTCCTAGACAGCTTTCAAGCCTGCGCATCACGTCACAGGACGTCCCGTCCCGAAAGCCAGCACATCGCTGATTGGATTCGAGTGCCTCGTTAGCCTTCGCGTGGAGTAGTTATAGAGTAGTTATTGCTTTCCCCAGAAATTAGTTGATTGGTGAACAAAATGCCAGCAAGCTCTTATGTAGTACATTATATAACATAAGGTCCTGAAAGAATGCCCACCCCAAATGAAAAGGTAAATGGTGTGTTTGCGTGTGCGTTGGGTTTGGGGGAGGGGGGGGGGGGGCACTACAAGTTACGTGAAACGGGAACTCTTAAACTTCAAAGTTTCCTAACTTTTCCCTCACCACAGTCTCGGTTTTAAACTTTATGATTAACTGTAACCAGCTCGCCTCCGCAGTCACTGTCTTTTCGTTACTGATACATATCGCAGACACGGCGAACTCGCGCGTGCAATAAGTATGTGGGAATTCGCTATGAACTCCCCAGTCACGGGTACGGCAGCAGAACGCGGACGCACCTTCAAACTCGGGGGAAACAATATCGCGCGCAAAAATCAACGAAAAAAAAAAATAAACAAGTAAATGCGGGAACGATGGGAAGGGATACCCCGCATAGTACGGATGCTGCAGGTTCGCGTGTCACGGGGATATAAGCACGAGGAAACCCGCGGCGAGCATGCTTGCCGCGTACCGTACCGTAAATCACGCAGTAAATGCGATAAAACAAATAATTGATGCGATTTTTTGGGGGCGTGCGTTTGTACGAGAATTTACGGCGATTAAATGCCGTGTATGTGGTATTTCGAAAACACTCGGTCATGCTCAGTGCCAGTGAAAAAAAAAAAAAAAAAAATATATATATAATTAAATGACGAAAGGATGCATCGTTTCGTCGTTTGTCAGAGTTCTGATGAGAACCGAGACAAAGCGACCTGTGCCTGTACTGGATCATTTTCGGAGATCAGACTTGCACGCCATTAATAAGACCACATCGGTATGGTGGTTGCGTAACAATAGGGCCTTTTAGCAAACCGTTCCTGCGTACCGCGCACTACCGGAACCTTTGAAGCATGCTTTTAAGTGCGCGCCCCGCAGTCACAATAGGGAATTGTAGTAGAGCGTTTCCGCAGCCCGCTAAGCACCCGGACAGCGCTCCGTAATCCGCCACAAGACCTTGTACTATGCAGACAAAGCTGGCGGCGCGCATGCGCAGCTGCGGCGTTTTCTTCACGGATACCGTAGCGGGGGAAAAAAAACGATCTACTACAAAGAAACGCCGCAGCTGCGCATGCGCACCGCCAGCCTTGTCTGCATAGTTCAAGGTCTTGTGGCGGATTACGGAGCGCTATCCGGGTGCTTAGCGGGCTGCGGGAACGGTCTACTACAATTCCCTATTAGGGAGTTTTCGTAGACCGCGCTGCCCCCTCCGCTAAGCGTTCCGCAACGAAGAAGTTGCTACTGCGCCTGCGCGCCGATAGCCTTGACTGTGGAGTTCCCGCTATCGTAGCGTGTTGCGGAGGGCCTTGCGGGACGGCCAAAACGACCTACGAAAACTCCCTATTGAGCGCGCGGTACGCGGTAACGGTTTGCTAAAAGTCCCGATTGGTTCAGAATTACCTAAACGAACACAACACGGTAAACCACTGTGGCCAATAGAGTACTCCAATAAATATAACCTAGAAAAAAAACTTGTTCGGCTAGTTTTGGCACAACATGTGCGCTTGGGAGCAGGATGGCGCAGCGAAAGTGAATGGACTTCTTCCAAAACCGACGCGCCCCATCGCGGCGAAATACCACGCAGTGCACTCTGGGAACTAGTTGGCCACTCAGTTTCGGTTTCGACTGAGCAGCTTCATCTCATGCTATCACGCCGCAACAGAACGCGCTGCTTGCGTTTTGGATTATCTGACTTTTCACGAACGTACAATACACTCATACTCGAGCAATACAAAATGAAGACCGGGGCACTTTCCTTGGTTCCCGAAACACCGGATATTGTGCGTGCGTATGCGAACGTAGTAAGTCGTGGCTTAGTCACCTCACCCCACGAGTGCATCTTTGAGCTCAATGTCAGTAATCCCGTCTAGCACCAGTGAACTACAACTGAAATTTGTTCGTCTGGAGCCTTACACGCATTTTGTTTGCCAAACGTCCGCTTCTTGTTACTTCATTGGGCGAAAAGCAAGCCGTATCCTCACAGGGTATCAAAGTTGAGGCCAGCGTTTACGCATGAACTTTCAAGGAAACGCAATAAATTCGACCTCACTACTGCACAAAAGTTACTATGATGTCTTCCTCGTGTCATCATATATCTCCCACTCAAATTTTATGCTGATAGAAGATTAACTTTTCGCAAACGCTGAGATCGGCTAGCTACGACGGAGGCCCTAACAAGCGTCCCCTACTCCTCGCTAAGCCTTTTTGGACGAGCTTTTACTGACGCCCGAGATCTGTGCCGGGAACGGTGTGTCTGAAATTATCTCGGCATACTCAGGCAGGAAGAAAGCAAACACACAACAAATATTATGGCCATTAGCAACCGTCAAATGCGCTTTGAATTCGTTCGAGCACTTGTCTGAAGAATGTCGCACCGTGCGCCGGACGGGCATGAACCCCAATGCGATGCGCATAGGGGTTCATGCCCGTCTGACGTACTTCCGGTGAACGGTGCGACATTCTTCACACAAGTGCTCGACTTTTGCATTCTTAAAACGGTCTGTATGCGCGAATGTGCCTATATGATTGCAGGATAACTTTATGCGCTTACGCGATGTTGAATATTAGTGAAATGCAAGCGGGTGGGGACTTCACTTCGGGCAGTGCTGTGGGTCAGTACAGATAAGAGATAAGAAGTATGTTAAAATTGAGCTTTTCAATGGCACCTCCGAGTTTTACCTCACATACTCAGGCGCCTTGAATAAAACAGTAATTGCAAAAAGAAATATTTCGTCTATGGACGCACGAAGCAAACAAACTTCCTGATCAACAACACTAATGTAAAGGCGCGAGCTCGATGTATGCATACTTATTGTTTGCTACAGCTTGTTGATTCGTACACAAGCAAGATCCCCGAGCACCCGAGCTTCGCAGCGTCGAGACTCCCAGCACTGGCTCGTCCACATATACCTCGATTGGAGCGCTAACAGGAAGGCTCAAGTACAAAAATACAAGCATGTGTTAAGACAAGCTATACGTCTCGGGCTTGTGCTAAAGCTTCGAGGTCTGGCCATTTAGGTTAGTTTAGAGACCACAAATGACGCTCTCGGGACCAGAAAACAATCTCTTGTCGACGTGTCGATCGAAACCGAAACCATGCCACCCTACTCCCTGGCCAACTAGTTCCCAGAGTGCAACGCGCACCGTGTTGCATGCAGGGCTTTATGGAAGTAGTCTATTGGCGCACAATGGCGCAGCGCTTCTCCCCCTCCAAAAGAAAAGCTGCCACTGCCAAAAATGACTGATACGTAAGGTTGACGTGGACAGTATAAAGCAAGAATATATGAAATTTGCCGTACAAGACCATTTGTTCCCTTCAAGGGGACTCGCAATAAAAAAACGGAGCAATTACTTTTACGAGTGTAATTTGCCGTCGCCACCTAAAGGGCCACTGATGAGAAGAAAAAAAAAGTTCTTTCTAAACAGTCTGGTTGGGACAGGAGTGTCGAAAAAGTAATTTTACGCGAATTTTCTAGAGCAACATTGACGGCGTGAGATTTATTTCAAATTCTGCGCGCAAAGTCCATGACGTTACGGAATGGTCATACACTATTTCTACCTCAACGAGGTGGTCACACACTCTCTCCACCTCAACGTGATAGCCAAGCCGATCTACCTCTCCTCCATGCGCCCGAAATGCCGAGAGAAAGCAAGTGGAAAGGAAATGACTACCTACCACATTCCGTCTCGCGCCGCCAATACTGCTGTAAAATTTTCTTCTTCCGCGGAACATTTATTTCTTAACACGCGTGTCTATTAAAAAAAAAAAAAAAAAAAATATAGTACTTTTTTTAAGGACCCATACCTTATAGTATACCATGTTAAAAAATAGTCAGTACTATTGTATCCCCTTCCAAGTCTTAAAAAAAAAACAAAAAAACTAGCGATCATTCTAAATATTAAGTGACAATGAAACTAATTTCGAAGAAACAGTAGTGGCCAAACCGTGGCTTGCGACTCCTTGATAAACCTAACCCGCCTTCTCCCCCCTCCCAGCATGATCAGAACGAAAAGCATTAAAAAGAAAGAAAAAAATGCTCGTTTTGTCAGTTTTGTGGCATCCTACACACATCCCGACAAGAATGGGGACACGCAATAAAGAAACAGAGCAACTACTTTTATCAGTGTAATTTGCCATGGTTACCAATTGAGAAGATAGAAGTTTTAGAAAAGTGCAATGCCCCCTATTTTTTGCTACCCCTCACTTCGAATGTTTTTTTGTTTATTTTTATGGCTCTTCGAATATGTCCGTCTGGCCACCCCTGCTCTAGAAAAAAAGACAAGTCACATCTTTTATAGAAGTATACAAGTGGAAAATCCTTTATTTGAATAAGTGGAAAGAGCTAGAGTGACTTGGGATATCACTTTCAATGCCTTTAATTCTAATGCCAAGTTGTAAAAATAATTCAGTTTAGGCACAAGCCATGAACACTTCACAAGAATCAACCTATCAAGTATCCCAAAATTTTTAAGTCTCACTGCCATTCCAAAAAGAAAATGTACTTGGGCAGGTCAATGTTCTATGCCCACAGCAATAAAAGATATTGGCAGAATTTGACCAGGCTAACATAACACATAACTCAGTTTTGTGGATAATGCATTAAACAGCACAACCCAATTCTGCAGGTGTTCAGAAACATACTGCACTCATGCACACAAGGGTGGCTGCCATCTATTTGAGACCTAATAATTCTTAAAGTGATAGAAACTGACAAGACAAGTATTTTGTTAAAATTCAATAGTTCTGTTAGTGATAACAATACCATAACAAAGCTTCTCTATATGTGGCATAATCCATTCGTCAAACTTGTGCATTTTAAACAAATGCCTTATGCTACTATTAAATCAATTCCTGGGTGACTGCAGCTCACAGCTCTTATAATTCCATTATATATCCATGAACTAGTTATCGATATTATAATGCACATTTTGCTGTGCCCGAAAGTGGCAACTTCCTCCTTTTTTTTTTTTTTTTCAAGTAAACAAAAAAGTATATAGAAAACTTTTACACCTACCTAAGCCACAACACTTCAATTTTAACCCCAAGCGATTACCGTAAAATCCCAAGCAAGCGCCTGCTCAAATTTAGGCATAATCAAGTAAAATTGGGGGATGGGTGCTACTTAGGTCAACACAACTTTGTTGCCTAACAACACATTTCAAGATGTCTTTTGCGTAGTATTCAAATGTTACCAAACTGAGGGGTGGGCACTTATTGTGGAACGAGTGGATGCTCAGCATTCTACGGTATATCTATTTTTTTACATTCTAACACATTAAAAGTCTGATCAAAAGTCAATTGAAAGTAAATTGCCTCGAAATTGTATGTGCAAACAATTCATTATATAGCAGTTCAACCAAAGTGACATTCCCTTTAAGAGTAGCTGCCAACATGCGAAGAATACTACATAGCTTACAGGAGATGGATAACTGATATGTAAAAATGTGGGCAAATAGCCAGCTAAATACTTGACTAGTAGTCTTGTGCTTGCAAATTTTACGAACAACTTAAAAAAAAAAAATTTTTTTTAACAGTTTATGGGCAACATTTCTCGGTGGCACAAGGAAAACCCTTGTAACAAAATCACCGCTAATGTGAGAGAACTATAATTTTGATTTTTTAAAGAAAGGATCATGTAAATAGCTGGTACTGTATACATAAGAACCATAAAAAACATTTGAGAAAAATTTCACATAACAGAACTCTGAGGTCATCTAGTTAATCTCTACTATTCCGACTACTTCGAAAAGTGCATGTAAAAATCCGACACAGCTGAAATTATGGCTGCAACATACAACAGTCAACTTTCAACACATATAGCAAATAAAGATATTTTTATAAATGAGGTCAAGGACTGGCATCAATGCAGCATTAAACAGTGTAAGCTCATGATGCATCTGCAAGACCTCTAGCTGCTGGCACTGCAATGCCTCACAGCCTTTGAACTTAAATGAATGACACTAGCACTTATAAATAGATCTGCAAAATACAGTGTTACAAACACTATAAAAATAACGGCTGCTATAGTGAGTATGTAACCCTTTTTGTTAAAAAGGGCACCATAAAACTAAACACAGTTACAAACATCTGAAGCAGAATACCACACTTAAGTCTGGACAAGCTTTTCTGTCCGGATTTGGAAATAGCATGCCTGAAAATAGAAAACCAATTATGTGGATTAGAAATCAGCATAGTGTGAACACTTGATTAGTATACTGCTTTCAACTCCAGATGTCAGTAAGAGCTGTTACAAGATTAGATTAAATCTTCCAAAAATCAACACTGCACAAGTTTACAAAATATTTAACACATAAAATATAACCTTTCAGTCACTTACAATTGTGACTCACTTTAGAAATTTACAGAGAAACTTGCAACATATGAAATGCATGGTGGCAAGTTTTCTATTTTCCCTTCTGGCTGTTAAATAAATATGTTTCAATGAATGATATTTTCCCTTTAGTTTTTGTGCCGGATACCCCCAGAAGTTTGAGGTTAAGACTCAACAGCTGTTTTGGTCACCCTCAAAGGTCCCGAGGGTGACCAAAACAGCTGTTGAGTCAACCCTCTTTTTTGTCCAATAGTCTCTTGGTTTTGGTCATTGTTGGGGGCGTGTCCCCTCAAAATCTGGCTTCACCTCTGGCGGCCTCATGTCGCCTCCAGAAGCTTCCTACCTCCATGCACTTTTTAGTATTGTGTCTTGAAAAGTACAATACAAGGATTTATGCAAAAAACAAACACAGGGGCAAAGTGTCTAGTGTTGCCTCTCGCTTTTTTCCCCCATGTTTCTTTGCACAAAACCTCTGTATGAATTGGAACCAACTGGCCCCACTTGCAGTCTTAATATAATACAAGAAGTACATCATAGGTTGGAGGCATGCAGACATCAATTATCTTTTTTGCCCATCAAATAGTATCTTTTATAAATAAATTGTCTTTACAAAGCATGCTACAGTGTTACTGAGACCAAAATTTGCATTCAGCAAGCAGGAAAAAAAACAACTTGGCATTCAAATTGTTTAAGGGAGGACGCGGGTCTTGAAAAGCAAAAAATCGCGAAAAAATCACTTTTTCAAAAATTGAATATTTGGATTGTTCATGCCTTTCTCCATCTCTGCTGTACGTATTGAATCCCAAAACGCCAAATAAATACCTATAATAACGCATTTTTGATGCTTCCGCGGTCGCGAAATGCTGATCGATCAACCAAATCGAGTTGAGATTCGCGCGCGCCTAGTTTCCGAACCGTTTACCGGACGGCAGCCATCTTGGTCTTGTTTTGTTCGTGAATTCTTGCTCTCTCTTTCGCAACCTTTCAAGCTGGCGTCACGCTCGAGGCAACGCCGTTTCGTTGGGTTTCCCGCCAAAGGAGCGCGGCGCCGTGATTGGCCGATGCGCGCGTTCGGAAAATCGGGCTGTACTATTGGCGCCGAGAGGCTCCGGACAGTTCCGAGCAAGTTCCTCCTCTCCCGCTCGCTCGTTCTCTTTCTCCGCGCTCGGTTTCTCCGGCGTTCCTCCTTGTTCGCTCCGCTTTTTGTCGTCTGCTATCCGCAAGTTTCCTCCATTGCTCTCGTCTCCTTTGTTTACATTTTTCGATCGATCGCGTCGCATATTTTTCACGCTTCTTTTTCTGCGATGTGGAGGAGCAAGTATAAGAGCAAGACTCGATATGCGTATGGAGCGTGTAAGCGCCGGATGAAACAAGTCAGAGCGGCGAAATCGAGCCTTGACCCGACGATCGCCGCGAGGAGTGAGCCCGAGATCACTGCGCCTGCGTGTTCATCGACTGCCGCCGCCGAAGAAAACATCGTTTTTTGTGCGTCTCAAACCACGATAGAGAACACGACTGTTCATCTACAGACGCAGTACGTGTCACAGGAAGAAGCTGATGCGACAACCGAACATCGCAATGCCGTCCGTGCGAAGCTTGCCTCCGTTTCCGCGACGCAAAGGAAGTTTAAGCTGCTTCAGCAAGCCCCCCTATCGCGACAAGCTCATCGGCGAAGTTCACGATTGTGCAGCTTGACGCTATAAATGAGCTTCTTGGCTATACAGTCTGCCAAAGCTGTTCGGCGACGGGCGTAAGAATTCATTAATCGACCGCTCTGGGACTTGCCGTCAAGCTTGAACTTGTGTGCCCCGTCTGCGAAGTCGTGACTCACACGTGGTCATCTCCGCGCAAGGTCGACTCCAACGCATTTGATGTGAATTTGAGAGCGATTTCGGCAATCAGAAGCATTGGCAAGGGTCAGACTGCCCTGAATGATTTCTGGGCAGTAATGAATGTATCACATAGAGGGCTCCACCACCAGACCTACCAAGATCACTTGAAAAACATCGTTAGTAAGTCGGCTGCAGCTACTGCTGAGAAGATCTACACTGAGTCAGCCGCTGCTGTGAAAAGCACATACAGGGAAATGAACCCCAACTTCACCAAGGATGTTGCTGTCGTCTACGATGGCACATGGCTCAAGAGAGGCTACAGCTCCCATGTTGGTGTCGGGAGCGTGATCGAGTATGACACTGGCCTCATCCTAGATGCTGAGGTTCTCTCCAATCTGTGTCACGGCTGCCAGACTGGACCCAAGCCGGGAGAAGAGAGGTACTCTGAGTGGCATCAGAACCACGAGTGTCAGAAAAACACCGACGCAAACTCGGGAAGAATGGAGGTTGATGCGGCACTCGCCATTTTTGGCCGCTCTCTGGAGAAACATGACTTGCGCTACACAACACTAATATCTGACGGGGACAGCAGAACTTTCTGTGCTCTAGTTGAAGACAAGACCTACGGGTTTCTCCCCATAAAGAAAGAGGAGTGCCTCAACCATGTACAAAAACGTATGGGGACTGCTCTGCGGAAGCTCTTGCAGAACAGCAACAAGCCTCTTGGAGGAAAGGGCCGCCTTACAAAGGTGCTCATTGAGAGGCTGACTGGGTATTACGGATGGGCCATCAGAAGCCATAGTAACGATGTGGAAGCCATGAAGCGAGCCGTGATGGCCACATATTACCATGTGACTTCGACGGATGAAGATCCAAAGCACAACCTTTGTCCAGGAGGACCGGAGTCTTGGTGCCGGAACAAGGTCGCCGAGGCAAAGGGACAGCCACAACCCAAACACAAGTACAGCCTCCCCAACTACGTTGCTGAAGCCATGTTGCCTGTGTATGAGAGTCTGTCGCAGACATCGCTTCTTGAACGCTGCTTGGGAGCCAAGACGCAAAATGCTGCAGAGAGTTTCCACTCCGTATTGTGGGCCTTGATGCCAAAGGAGCAGCACGCCTCACTGGTGTCGGTACAGACTGCGCTGCACGAGGCAGTCGTCAGGTTTAATGCTGGGTGCGCTAGGGCACACCTAGAGATGTCCAGTGCCATGAACCTGCAGCCTGCGCACCTGGCTCTCCGGCGGGCTTCGGAGAAGGACTCCCTCCGCTTACACAAGGCCACCAAACGCCACAGTGCAAAAACCGAAGCACGCCAGAAGAGGACGTTGCAACGCAGCACACAAGACTATGCTGCGGGTTCCTTCTGACACTATTGCCGTGCCTCAAACTTTCGGACTCTTTTTCTCAGGAACGCATTTTCTTGAGCCGTGACTGTTTCTGCCATTGATATTTTCTTAACTAGTGGCTCGATTTGTATGCAGTCTTTTTTATTTTGGTGCCAGAGAGTGCTAGAAGGGCATGACAATCTCAGTTTCTGCAATAAAGTGTAAAATGTTTTTTAAAGTTATAAAATGTCTTTGTATTTATTTGCAAATTTGGTAACATGAACATTCAAACTTTCACTAAAGCCGTTCCAGAAGGAAATTTATAAAAAGAGCTCTGTCTCCCCCTTTGGTATATATTCAAGCACTTGTCCAGTTAATTTCACTTTGCTACTGTGCTCCAAAAATATCTCGGGATTGGCAAAACAAAGAAACATGGAAACTCGTGTTTCTCGAAATCCAACAGGCATAATTGAGTGAAACATTGCAGTGGTTGTTAGGGCCCCTGTACCAACCTAGTCTGCAAGTTTCATGCCAATAACTTTAAAAACAAAAAAGTTATTTTTCTTCCCCACATCCTCCCTTAAATGAAAACAATTTGTCGGGCGAGTATTTCTAGAGTGGCAAAATTTTTAACAGTACTGTATGTTAGAGGGACCGTGAAACGATTATGAGTTGGAATTTCACTAACTACATAAAGCTTTGTGGGGCACAAGAAAGCAACACACAAGGGGAGGGTAGCCATAAATGTGATTTTCGTTGCGAATTTTTAAAAATAAGAGCACACTGTTTCTTTCTCTTTCGTAAAGCTTCCTGATAGTGTCAAATAGTGCTGGGCACGTCACAGCCGACCGTGACTAGAGCACTGCGTCATCAGTCAGTTTGCACTCAATAAGAATCACTCCGTCATTCAGGTTAACGTTTGAGGTCAGTTAGTGGCACGATGGAAATCACTAAACAAACAATGTCCACCACACAGCACATGCTATAAGCCTTGCCAACCCAGGCATGTGAATGTGATAACCATTGGCAGCACAAGCTAATGAAAAAAGACCTAACAGCTAATGGTACCAAACACGCTTCTGAGAGACACTGTCACGAAACACACTACTGCTTGTTGAACTGCTGAGTGAGGAAGAAAAGCTGAATCGGGTTCTTATTTTTTTTTTATTCCCGTATACGTTAACACACTGATATAAAAAAGGCTTCATCATCTGGGTTCTATAATCATTCAAAACACAATTAAAAAAAACATGGACACAAGGGAAGTTTACTGTAGTTTTTGCCAATTACCAGTTATGACAATGCCCATAAACTTTAGGTGCAAAACAATGCAACAAACAAAAAAAATGAAATGCTGCAAGCTAGGTCTGCATTTGTCAAGACTTGACCATAATGAAATGCAATTTTAATAGAGGTGAGCAAATACATCTTCAAATCGAATAGCTCAGTGTCGTCCCTAGCTTCAACACTGAAGAGAGCCCACATGTACCTTAGCAGTTTTCCACTGCAGTGTGGACACTATAAATGATGCAGCACTATTCAACTCTAGCCACCAGCAACTACTAGCAGGTAGATCCTTGACAGGCACACCAGCTTTTAACTATCACCTTAGAATTACACACAACGAAGCCCAAAACCAGCAATTGGCACAGATGGCCTCTACGGCTTTTGCGCCAGAAATACACAAAATCGCCAAGACCGGTAAAAGAGCAATGAACCAATCTCGTGATATGTCGAGAGCAAATGTTACTGAAACGTCCAATCCCATACCCCAATTCTCTTGGCAAAATGCTTCGACATTGTGGCACATGCACTGAAGCGAAACAGGCAAACCGGGTAATTTGTTACCTTCACGGTGGTGAACATGATGCCCAGTTCTCCATTCTGGAAATGGTGTTCCATGAGGTCATCCACAAAGTGGATCTCGGAACCCAAGTTACGGATCCTCGCCCGCACCACCACGTACTGGAACACCGGGAACAGGTCGTCCATGTTCCACAGGAAGTCACCCAGGCCAACTTGTACCTCCTGCCATCACAGTCACATTAAATCTGTATTACAATGCCACTTCCAATAGGATAATGTCACACAGTGGCAATGACAGTGGCAATGGCAAAGCGCGGTCCCTCCTGCAAATGTAACCTGAAGTTTCTTTCTTTTCCCCACACTGACCTTTCCTTCAAACATAACATAATGCACCTATATGACATTAAGGAATTTAAAGAATACTGTATTATAGCACACACCTTAGATTGTTTACTAAGCAGGAGTTAATGATGATCTTTGGGAAGCAAAGCTTCTTTTTATGAATATGCACAGTGAAAGGCAAACAAAAGTATGTAAACCAGGACAGTGAACACCCCACAACTGACAAGTACATGTAGTATAAAAACATCCCATCAACTGCATCATCAAAGAAAGCCTGGCACCATAAATAATTAATCCATTATTATTCAATTTCTTAGAGCCAAGTGAAGTTTGTCCAATACGCTTGAACGTGCATCTAAACTGAAGGATTGCACCACAGTTATACTAACTGTTTTTTGAGCAGTTGGTTACTTCTCTCCTTCTGTGCTCCAAAATTAGCAAAGTTAATTTTCTTTACAAAATTCAGCTTTACTTTGGATTTCTTCAGATTTTCCTGGTGCTCGAATTATTGAGGCAAGAAAGACAGAAGTGTAACAATTGGTTCCTGATATTATGTCTCTTTGGAATATGAAGTGTGGACTTCTGCCCATTTCCAAATAGAAGCCTTGAATAATGTTTAAAAGATACTTTAGCTACCTTTCTGCATTATATGCATCTTCAGTACTCAATCTGGAATGGACTTGGGTTTTTGTGCAACATGTATTTTAAAGGTTTGATATTCACACATACAGTGATGTGATCTGTCCGAGTCATTTCGGAGCACCTTTTGGAGCAGCTAAAAGTCCATTTTAGAACAGCAAAATGAACTTTTGGAGCACATGTTCACAATTATTATTATTTATATCACTTCAAATATTATACGTAAATATTAATGTGTTGGCCTGTCCATCAGGAGACCTTGTTTAATTTGCCTTCCCACTTCTGTGCAACCTTTTGTTAGCATCAAATGCACGGCTGGTTTTATTCCCACACACACAGAACTATCTGCTGTGCATGCAAGTGCCAGGCACGACAACAATATGCTGAATGATGAAGAACAGTATGAACTGCTGCGAATTGTTATTTTAGGTAGAGAGCCAAAGGTGAACCAAATAATATATTCCACGGAAATCATATTAGAACAAAACAATACTGAGCACCCAAGTTGATGGTTCACTTATGTCCTAAAAGTTGTAATAAAACTGCAATTATTACTTCAGATAAAATCAAAGCGTTTGTAATTTGATTATTAACGTTAACTACAATTTATATGTATGACTTCATGATAACAAAAATCAGAATGTAAACAATAAATAAGCCTCGAAACAACCCAGTCGAACTCGTTAAGGTTATTGCAAAGATTCCATCCACTCTTGCGACTAGTAGAGTTTTAGTTTACTTTGCTCACTGTGCCACCGCACAGATGGAACGTGTGTAAAGTCAATAATTAAACCGAGCTGATATAAATAACAAGCTTATAGAGAAGTCCATATAAATATTCCCGCAATTTACATGTATCTTTGCCAAATCTCGAATTTGAACAAAAAGTCATCAGAATATTGTAGTATATCGTATGTACTAGCCGCACTTTTATTCAGAATGTATTACTGCAAGATAGAATTGCAACTTGAGCATTTACCAAGTTATTATATTTTTTAACATACTTGACGCTTGCATGTGCAACGCCTCCTTCTGGCGAGGTGCTTCCCCTTAAGTATGTGGCTGCACTGTTGCAAAGCAGCAAACGATAAACCGAACCGAAAGATCTGAAAATTCGGACAAGCATACCGTAATGATTCAGCCGTGTAGCGGGTCCTCAGTATTAATAAAGAGAAATTATGTTTTAGTGCAACGTTAGCGCAAATTCATCCCATTTTGTCTAAATGTAGCTTTATGAAGCAGGGTAAGCACTTTGGCGCAGTTTGGCGCAGCAGTCACATCACTGCACATAACTAATTAAAACTCCTTTTTGTAAAATCTGGGAAAGTACACTCCCTGTAAGGGGAAGTGATTATAATACATGTTATGCCATTTCTCAAAAATCTTGTGCAGTCTTTGCAATGTTGGGGGTGCCTCAGTAAAAACCGCAATGTGTGCAATTGTTACCTTGTTGATTTCCTCAAAGGTCTGCCGAATTGCCTGCAGCTTGTCAATTGCCGTAAAAGCAGTGCTGAGTAAGAAAAAGCAGAAAGTATGAATTTGCAAAATGCACATGACAACAGCTTGAGTCTATGCAAAAGGTTGGATTTAAAAGCTTCATTCACCTGATATGCTGCAGAGCGTCAATTGCAGCAGTGAAGCACTCATCCTTGACACTCGAGATACGCTGCAAAAGGGAGGGTGCCGTGCGGTAAGAAAGCAATGGAAAAAAAACTGGGACACTACCCAGAAAAAAAAAATTTCTGTAAAAAATGTTGATTATGAAAAATGCCTTATTTACATTCGCCAACATCTAGAGTATTCCCAGAAAGTTTCAGCTGTTTACATTACATGCTAAGGAAAAGGTAGAGGTTCGAGCACTTTTAATGCATTTGTATCCAATCCATTTTTAGGCATAAATCGCACCTTAATAAAACAATAGTTTCAGTATGAAACTATCGAGACTTAATATTTGCGGCTTTATGCCAAACTTTTATAAAGCCGGTTACTATGAACTTAGATTTTGCATTTTCATGTTCCATTATTATGAAAAATTTTAATTTGCAAAACTTAATAAATGTAAAAAATAAATTCATAAATATTTTATCTGAAAAATTCATATTTTCTGAAATTTCTTTTCACAGTGACCGGAAACAGGTGTTCCAGTATGCATTCCACCAGAAGAATATGTGGTTCTAAACACCAGTTCTCAACGATAGATTTATTGAGCAGAATCTATACAAAGCTATGCTTTACTTTGTTCTGGGGGTATAGTACCTCATAAAATTGGTTCACAGGGCTGAAACTTTGCATGCCCTCCTTCTATATGGCTACAAACATCACCTGCAAATGTCCCGCCGATTGAGTGAGCGGTTCAAAAGTTGACAGTCCCAGGTAGTGTCCCCCCCAGGGTGTAAGATAGACAGGTGGTGAAACGAGAGCCAAATGAGCGACCGAATTGTGTCCCCCTCGGTTTTCTCTTTTTCTGTGGCGCCACCTATGTGGAGCACCGCGAACTTTCACTCCGGGTGCGCGAACGCTGGCGACCGGTTAAACTGACGGAGAAGGTTTCTCATGGATTTTCAATGGAGGACTGTCGTGCTCTCAGTTTATTTTGCGCACTCTCCCATAAAGTTCCATGCAAATTCGATTCCAATTTTTTTCTTCTCGCCGCAGCGCCATCTGTCGCAAATCGGGGGTACCCGCAAGCCACCCGCAAGCAGACGAGTACACAATCGGGTCACGGCGCTGCGGTAAGTTTCTATGGGCAGTTTCCCCACCTGTCTATCTTACACCCTGGTCCCCCCTTAAAGGCAAGAGGCACATGTGGTACAGAATCTGACTTACATTACGTTCCATGCTCAAAAAGTTCTCTGGAAACTTCAGCGACACAAATTTTCTGAAAAACAAAATTGATAAATGCATAGAGTATAAAAATGAGTTTGGAAGTTCCAACTTGGCTTCATGCTCTTCCCCCTATTAGCTCTCAATTAAGTTGTAGGGTATATACACAAAACAGCCGTATGTGCAATGAGGACTACTGCAAAAAATTGAACAAGAAACAAATTGGATTACCTCGAGTAAGATAATGTCAGGGCAGACTGAAAAAGAATGGCAACTGTAATCCTTTTGAGACATAAATGCGGGGTGGGAGGGTGGGGTTTTCCACAGGCCCTTCAAAGCTACTGAATTGCCAGTTTCACACCCTTGGAAACTCTCAAGTTTTGGGTAGCCCTTAAAAAGAGTAATTAGAGTTAAAAAAAGAATGCCATAAACAAGAAAAATGCTGACATAAGGAACAAAAAAAAAAAAGAAGTACTACCAGCCCCAATTGACGTCACTTTGACTACTATTTCCAAGACTCACAAAGGAAACAATTAAGTGATGTCGCTGAAATAATGTCAAACTGCCCCAGGAAAAATGCAAAAATTGCACACCATGGTGAAGATAAAGTGGCAGGAGCTGCCTTGAAGTCTGTGCTGAAACAATGCTTTAAAAGAATAGCACTACTTCTCAATGTCGTGGAAGTGCTGTATTTTCTGGACTAGTCCACACGCAATGTAACTAAAAAAAAATGTTTCGGTTTAAAAAAAAAAAAAAGTTTTTCCTTTGAAAGTTTGCAACTGGTGCATAATCCGCACCCGCGGTATAGTCCGCCCCTGGTGCCGTCTGCACGTAAGAAATGCCAATACACACAGCTCACCTTGACAAATGCCAATCTATTATACAAGAAGCTTGTATAATAGATAAATCATCATTAACACGGTTTGTCATTTGTAAACGTTGTCATACTTCGTCATAATGAACTATCTTGGAAAAAACAAAACCTTGTAGAGTCTGCACCCTGTGATAGTCAGCACTGCATAAAATTTCAACTTTAGAATGTGTAGTTCACAGACTAGTCCAGAAAATACGGTACATATCTTTAAAAGCACGATTACTCTTAAAATGACTGGATTATATGTGTTAGGCGTGCTTGAAAAGGTCTCAGCATGTCATTAAAACATCTTAAATTTTCTTCTAGAAAATTGGTAATCTCTCTAAAACCATCAGTTCTTTTTTTCTCTTTCTCTCCGGTAGGAAGGCTGGAATAACCTACTCATCCACGCCGAGGAATGTCATGAGAGCCAGGTCAGACTGCTTGTTCCACTTGAGCAGGCGTTCCCAGTAGTGTTTGTCCTCCTTCTCATTGTTTAATGCATACAGAGTGGACAGGGATGGGTACAGCCTTGGCAGCAGAACTGGCTGGATCAGGGTGTTTGGTGTAATGCACTCTCTGCAAACGTTCCCACAAAACAGCCATTAGACACCGTTCCCCTCATAGCTTGAGTTGGCTCTGCCTGTAAGTGCATCACTGAAGCTACCCAACTTTTATGCTGGTAATCAACATGCTTTTACAGGTGTAATAAACCTCTAGCTGTAGGCACAATTAAGTTGCAGTCACATTTTTACCTGAGGTCCCTTTGGTAACAAATTACAGGGAGCATACTACTTGAAAAAGAATTTCCCGGCAGCCTCGAAGTGGAAGCTGACATTTTAGCATAAAAATAATAATACTTTATTTTTTGTGCAGTGCCCATCAACAGTTGTAAAGCTTACTTTGTGATGTGCTTAAGTTTCTTTTTGAGACAAAAAAGCAAATTCAAAACATACAAAAATGCAGAAATATTAAAGCTCTAGCACAGATAATATGCACTATATACATAATATACAAAGAAAGCAAATTTAAAAACGAAGCTAAAGAATGCAATAATAGATATTCAGAAATACTAGGAGTTGCAAGGTTGCCTTCAATACATCAAAATCACTAAAACTAACCAACTCACAATAAGCCGTATGTATTCTAGAAAACGGCTACTGTGTACAGATTCTGTGAGGATAAAAAAAACTCGAAACGACGACTGGCTCTAGTTGGCACATGAAAGTCAATACTATCAAGTAATATCTCAGTTTTTACAACTCCGTACACCCCACTGTGAAGAATATTCAGGTCTCTGAAAGCTGTTTTGAGACTTTCCAGTCTAAATTGACTATTTATTCATGTTCTGAATTCACTTTCTTATTTATTTTATAAATTTACTACTTATTCTTTTTCCCTTTTTTGCTAAGGGACTTTGCCAAGCCACTTAGCAAAACATCGGGAGCCCCTCTGAGGCTTGCAGGAGCTCCCTTTAAAAGTTCTTCTCACCCGCTTCGACCATCTCCACATTTTATGTGGAGAGTGCACTGCATTTTGGCACTCTGCGATACACGATGCACTACCAACAAAGATCCCAAGTTAAACATTAGGGCCCCTAGAAATGCGATTATTGCAGATCATCAGTAACTTCAGGGGCATGCATCTAATATATGAAAGGATATAAACAGCACAACCTCCCCCAAAATTGTGTTCTTTTCACCGCAAAAACAAATAATGCATCGCCAAATGCCGTATCTGTGCCCAAATGTAGTGGTAGCGGTCTGAACCAGATGCAAAAGTTAAAAAAACAACCATCATCCTATAAAAAAGTTATAAGCAATTTTCTAAAAAAAGTTAAAGGGAAATGGGGCCTATTCTCAGTAACTGGTGCCATTCAGCTTCATCCATTTGAGGGCTCAGTCGGACGCCATTTTCCCACTGAAATTTTCAGAAAATCACTTATAACTAGGGTTCAGTGTTATCAGATAAATCCGAAAAACTCCGAAAAACACGTCAGAAAAATATTTGACAATTCAGATTTAGCCGATAAACTCCAAATTTCAATGTACCCATGAAAAAAAAAAAAAAAAGACTGTATTTTACAATTAAGTTTGGTCAGCGCAGAGGGTTAATGGTCCTGAGAAAATGCCCACCCCAGTTTTCTTTCAAATCTTGGGCCATTGAAAAAAAGGATCTTACCACTTATCTTGTCAAGGTTCATTCAGGACAAGAGGTCATTGTACTTTCAGGTCACGACAAAAGCCACTGTTCCGGTTTCCAGCTTGAGCCATAATGTTTGTGTTTCTTAGAAGGAGGGGTTGTGTATTTGTAACAGTGAAAACTATGAATTGAAGAGATTTAATAGAAAGGGGAAGAGGGGGTGGGCAGTTAAAGCTTCTATATTACACCCTCTACCACTCCACCCCGTACAGCCGTGGTATAAGGGTCGACAGATAGGATGGGATAAGTACGAGCTTCCCAGCGACTACCTCCCGGAGTTTATTGATTCTAAGGTATCGACGTTTATCAGGGTAATCCTTGTTTGCAACTTTTGTCATGAGATATATTAGTACTGCCAATGCCAATGGTGCCAATGCCAAATCCAGCTGAAGAAATATTAATTGATACAAGAGCATTTTTTTTAATCAAGCACACATTTACACCCGGATACAGGGGCAGATCCAGAACTCTGTTTTGGGGGGGGGGGGGGGGGGGGGGGAATTTGTAAGGATACTATTCTCCCATTCTTTCTTGTGCACCGGGAGGTCCACCCATGTCAAATTGCCCTCCGAGAAGGGGGGAGGGGGGGGGACTTCGTTTGGACGGGGGGAAGGGGGGGGCCACCCCGTCGCCTCCCCCCCTTGGTTTTGCCCCTGCCCGAATATTATTTATTTTTATTTTCGATAAAAACAGAAAACACTGCAAGATTAAAGGGATAGTGCAACAAAATTCTAATGCCTATTTTATTGTCTAAATGTCAACAACTTTCTTGCCACACCACAGAGAGACACCATATTCTTGCTCAAAAAGACACCAAAACATTATTTAAAAGGAATAAACCAAATGTCGTCACGTCACTCTGCACTTAAAAGCAGCGCAGCTCCACGGATGGACGTACGGCAGCAAGCTGCGTGCATGCGAGCCCTGTCAAACCGGATTTCCCTTCTCTCCCGGCCTACTCATCACTTACGAGGAGCGGGGACGGGCAACTAAAAACAGCCAGGTTGTAACATGTTGTTGACGCCAAGGGGCAGAGCTAATAACCACGCCAGCCCCCAAGCAGCTATGGCTGTGCTGCACCAACTGACGTCACCTCTGTGACATCAATTGGTAGAGCTCCCGTAACGCATCGCACTCTTCGATGGCTAATCTTCCGAGCACTCGCTGAAATCGATTCTTTGGAATGAAAAATATAGCCATCTGTTCAAAATACAAGAGTGCGATTGTCATTAGCAGATTGAGTTGATCATGTTGAACTTATTTCTGAATGGGACAGGTATATTTTAAGTTTCGATTCAGTATCCCTTTAAGCTCCGAAGCTCCGAAAACTAAACTTTGATAAACTACGTCGCCAAAAAATAAACTCCATAAAACCCTCCGGTTTTTGACAAAAAATAAACTCCAAAAACACAGAATCCTACATATAACTTTAGAATAAGATAACGGTTACTAGTTGGGAAATTTTGGCATCTGGTTTGGACTACTAGCGCTACATATGGGAGGAGAATGAGTATTTGGCGATGCATAGTTCATTTTTGCAGTGAAAAATACCCTACAAAAATTTTTGAGGGGACACTCTACATATGTACATATGCAGGGTGTACCCTCATAAGTGAAGAAAAAAAAAAGTCTAGATGCCTTGTTTCCTTATAAAAAAAAACTAGGTGTTGTTCAAGATGAACATGCCCTTTCTTAGGTTTGGTGAAACTTTTCACATGGCACAGAGAAAAAATCACTTTATAGAACTAAGGAACCTTGAAGAGTTTCCCTCTAGCCCTCACTTTAGGCAAGGGAAAAGATCATAAAAAAAGAGGGCAGACTAAATTTTTGGGACAGAAAAGCAAACAGGTTTTATATACGTGTTTGGACTGTCTGGAGAGTCTAGATTCATTTGGTGCCCTTCTGAGACCAAGTTAAAATATGGTTCTTTGCAGCTTAAAGGTAGACCTACAGGGTCATCTTCTGCCAGGCAGGAAACCAGTTCCCAGTTTCATTCTCTCCATTCCCTCTCGCACTTTACCCACCTCCTCCTTCAAAAGAAGAGTCTCTGATCTACTCCCTGCAGAAGTGAGAAGAGTCTCCCTCTTTCTCAGATGGAAAGGAGGAATTGAGGGAGAGTTTCGCTCGTTCTGGCTGCTCATCGGCTTTTACATCAGACTCCTAAATGCCAGTTTCACATTCCGAACTTTTGGAAAACAACTTAAATCTGACATCACAATTTCGGTGCTCACCTGTCTTTCGGACTCGGAGGGGACCCCGAAATTGTCCGAATAATCAAGCAGTCCGAAAAATCAATTTCAGCCAAAATACCAAATTTCTGCGCATATTCCGCACCGTATTGGCCACTTTCCACTTGCTTGGTGTTCATTTTAAGTTCTCGTGCAACTTCCACTTTCTACTGTTCACTTTTCAATTGTTTGTTGATCTGTTTGATCATGGTGCTGCACTTTGTCGGCGCCCTCGTTGACACAGACAGCAAAGTTGAAGTTCACACATTCGGCACTATTTGTAGACAATGTTTAGTCCAACCAGCTCGCTTCAATACTAAGCCCATCAAAAAAAAGCCTTCGCACTCAAAGACCACAAGAACGGCAGACGGCCACTCTTCTCGTGGTCACATTCGAAAAACACGGTCCATGAAAAGAATTGGATGAGCCATTAGAATGGGCACACGGCGGCCATGTTGGCTATGTAGCGGAACCGGAAAACCCGACTATAGCCTCAACCCAGCTTGTTGATTGCATAGGACATGGTATTGAGGCTACGGGGCAAAATCAAAACAACCAAAATAGCGGTGACTAAGCTTGCGACGTTATCACGGTGGCTGTTTTGTGGCTGTAAACTGAGGAAATCACACAAATTATGTCAGAAATATAGAGAAATAAGCTTTATGGTGTCCGAAATTTCGGCCAATGTTATACATTAGTTCTATAGGGTGAGTGACGGTTCGGCGAAAACGTCCAAATAATCGGACGTGCCCGAAAAATTGCTGTCTGGAAAATCGGTCGACGACTGTAGTTCATATCGTGGCCAGCCTTTGAAAGCATTGAATCTATCAAGACAATTCAGCTACTTGCCCGTTAAGGTGGCTGCCAAGTGTTTTTAGATATAAGTAGAAAGGAAATGTACATACATGCAAACATTTTATGAGTGTATAGGTATATACAGGGGTGGAACTCATCAAATGTATTTGGGAGCAGTCACGGGAGCAGCTGAAACCGCTGTTTTGGAGCAGGTTGGGAGCAGCTAAAACTACATTCTGGAGCAGGCTAGGAGCAGCTCAGATCAGTTTTCATTGCACTTCAGCTTGTGTCTTAGACGAGCACAGGAGCAATTTCAATAGTGCTTAGCAGCACAGATGAACATGAGAGGTTAGGAACCTAGGTAGATGGGATAACACATAACAGTGTAACAGATGCGAAAACTTGGAACTTTGTGAGCCTTAATGAGAGCCAAAACGCAAGTACCATACGTTTCTGAAGATAATGTACTTGATATTTTCTGAGTGGCTTTCAGCTGCTCAAGATGCAAACCAGCACTGCTTATCGCACAACTCACGTGCTCGACATAGTAATTATATGTGCGAACCACGTGACGTGCGTAAGCAACGGATGTGCCGCTGCGTGGAGGAACAGGGCAACAAATTTCGAGTTTATCCTATTGTGCAACTCAATATCGAAGCAGCAGACTACGATTAACAGAGTTATTGTATTCAAAGCGATTAACAAGAGCAAGGTTAAAGTACGCCGAGCAGATCTACCGCTCGCGTGAGAGCTGCTGGACGGCAAAATTTCGGATCGGACAGCGTTTCCAGTTCTATCAAATCACAATTTATCTTGCGGGAATGCGGTTCCAACTTATAACGATTAAGTAGTAAACGGAATCTTTTGCTCATTTTTTTCCCACTGGTTGACTTCTGGATCCCGGGCCGCAGAGCCTCAGGCAATCTGACGCTTAACGACTCGACCTCACCTCGGCCGACTTGCTTAATCACTGATGGTTGAAGAATAACAATCCAGTCGCATGCAGGTGGTGTAGCGCTTGGAATCCGATCCCCGAGTTTTTAGGCGCGCTTCCGACTCGAGATACATAGGGAGAATAAACAGAACAAAGGATTGCAGGGCCGACCAAGCTAAACGTGCTCATTGTTGCCAGTCGAGTCGATAGAAACCGAAACCAAGACAAAATACAATTTTTTTGGGCGCACGTTGTGCGATTTGGCGCATAATGGCGCAAGCTATTGGCAGTGGTGCAGTTTCCGCAAAATGGCGCAGGATGGCGCAGACAAATGCGTCTGGCGCAAAATGGCGCAAATGGCGCAGCCGTTCCACCCCTGTATATAGTTTATAGAAGGGCACAATTGATTGATCATAGTCGTCAAACAGCTTACTCATTGAGGTCAAACATATCCTTGGGAGTTTCCATGTTCCCTGATGAGGTGAGAACCAAGGGCTTGTCTTCCAGTGGCAGATCAGGAAAAAGGATTCTGCACAAAACAAACAGTCATCACATTAGCCCATTGCATGTCTTGGCACTGTAAGAGAACAAGGATAAGGCTTTCGTACCTCACTAGCTCATACAGCCGGTGGCAGAATGATCTGACCTCTTGAATTGCGTGTGCCAGCAGCCGAGGATGAACACCGATTCCACAATAGGTCAGGCTGAAACCGAAATTCAGTTACAGCCAGTACAAAGTGGAACTTTGGCTTACTTAGCTCTTTTGAGGAAGCAAGTACAACACACAAAAGAACAAATGAACCTAACCTAACTCTTTTTGCTTTGGAGCTTCTCAGTAGCAGACGCCCAGAGAGTTGTAAAGTAACCAGTAAGCATCAATCTTCACGCCTTAGCCTTACTTATGCCATTAATTTTATGCACCCAAAAAAACAGAAACTAGATCCCGAGACAATAAGGACAAACACAAAGGTGAATAAAACAACTATATGCCAATATATTGTAGGACTGTGGGGATGAATTAATGATATAATAGAATGGGTGAAGGTCAACTATGATGGTGTCTGCCAGACTGCTCGAAGCACAGTTTTATTGGCCTCCTCAGTACAGTGTGGCCACCATTTGCTAATATGTATACTGAGAAGCACCGACACTAGAGCCATACACTAACACGCGACCTCAACGTCATGCCGCTGTAGTGGTGCTGTTGTTGGCATGGCGCATGCGCAGATGCTTCACTTCACACGGATCTGGCTTCTGTGCACACACAGTGCCCCACCAGCAGTGTGGGCAAATCCCACCTTGTTTGTAAACAGCGTGTCGGTCCATGGACATCCCAATGTCACCCTGCTCAAGATAGAAAAACTTACCGAAACACACCCACCAGACCATCCAGCAAGTAGCCCAAGGGGTGATGGACACAGTCAAATGCATTATAAAGGTACTCCTTGATCTCGCCATACTGCTCCACTGTCAAACTGTTCTGCTTCTTGCTGGTTCGTGGAATGCGCTCAAGGTAGTCTAGGCTTTCATCTTGGCCGCACTTCACTCTAAAATGAGAAGTGATATTCACTCGTGAGCACATATAAACCTTCAAAGAACCCAGGGCCCCTATAGCTCCTCATTGGCGCGATACTCAGGCTATGAAAACGAACGTAGCAGGAATAGAGGTAGATAAGAGCAGTGGCTTCAATGCAAATTGTCGCCATTCAAAACTTAAAACATTGTGCCATTCTGATAGTGATTACGCGCCTTAACAGTAAGCAGTCAGCATACAACAAAGTGACAGCTTACAGCAACAAGTAACTTCTCTGCACTGGTGAACTGGCCTGTAGTACCCTTAAAACGTTGCCACCATGGAAGCTACTAGTTTCCTTAAAAGAAAGGGCTCTGCATTAGAGCTAGTGTACTAGTGCAAAACTGTAGGCAAGAAGCTGTATGCATACCGTTCCTTGAGATGAGACAGTTTCTTGCGGTTGCTGATGGCGATGGCAATGGCATCCCAAGCTTGCCTATTGTCTTGAGCATCTGAGACCCCTTGGATGCCCAGCATGTCCCGGCAATGATCGAAGATGTCCTTCCACTTCTCAGAAGCTGGCACACACAGCTGGGATGCGGCACTGTGGTGAGAGCACAAACAAATTACAGTTGTTCCAGCAAGCAGTCAAGGTATACTAGTTAAGCTAGTGCAAGTGAAGAGTTATAAAAAAAAGGAGAATTTCAGAACAAAAGAAATGCTTGATGCACAGAAGGACAGAAGTAGTAAAAAGTTAAGCAAAATCTTTCATTCACGTACGTGTCTCGGCTGTGAATCATGGATTCCACTTCAGAGAGGCTGTATGCGTCAGCGACCGACTTTTGGTAGACACCAGAGATCTTGATCCCTTCGCTCCACATTCCGTAGAAGCTGCCTTGAATGCTGTCTCCATTAGAGAGGCTCAGAATTCCCTTGGAAAAATCAAAATATAAGGTTTGGCAGATGTCAGAGAGGCTATATTTGTCAGTAATTTGAAGGCGGCGTCTTAATTGCTGTTGATCATTCGGCTATCTCACACTGGACACGTGACCTGGAGTCCTAATTCGCGACTCCAGCGACCTATAGGGGGCGCCACCACCAAACCGACATGGCGGCTGGGTCCAGGTCGCGTCAGCTCGGCCGAGCCGCCTGAACGGGTGGCGCAGTCAATTTAACAGATTTTCTTTTGTTTAATGCCCAATTTTATAGGTATTTGAACTGAGACGGTTAAGTGTAGCCGGTGCACATAAACTTGCAGATCATAGTTTTGTTTTCCCCATGTTAATTGTTCTTTCCATGTCAAACTTTCGTTTCGGAGATTTTGTTCAAAACCGAAACTATGGGCTCCGGAGAGACGGTGATAAGACTCTAATCAGTTTTGATCATCTAAGGAAAGCGGCGATGACTACAGAATTGTTCCACCGAGAGTAATTTTCAGCTAACTCGCATGCCTCAACCATGCAACTTATCTGTCCGCGAAATCGAGCTTTTGTGCGTATCCGCATTTAAGAAACAGCTCCCGTTGTCTGCTCGGTCAACAACACAGGCTGCAGGAAAATTACGAAAATTAAGCAAGCGCTTCTTGAGCTAAGGAGCATGTTAACCCGCTAGCGCTTAACTAAGCAGCTGATACTTGTATTTCAATTCAGGTTTTAGCAGTAATCGAGAAGTCATTTTGACGAGCGGGTTATGTATTACATTACATACTATGCCCCACTAAAGCGATATTAGTATATTCTTCAAGTTGAAATATGAGCTTAGTTGACTAGCTATTATATTAGGTGAACTGCTGAATAAAAGTATATTTGACAGACAGAGAAATATACAACTCAGCCAAATGGTTCTAGCCGGAGACGAATGCGGACAAACTGAAGAGGGCCTTTATCGGAGATTCACGCAGAACCTCTCTGGGCATTGAACTTGACTTCGAATCCTGAACGGAAAAAATGAGTATTTGTTGTGGTCGGTCAATCTGAGCAATGTAGAAGTATATTGCTGCTGGCTTCGACGGGAGTATAATATAAAATTGGAGGCGCGATGGATCATAATGCCGTGACAGCTTCTAACTTTGCGAGACTCGTCCCCCACCTTTTGAAAGCAGATAATTTCCCTCATTAATCATATGCAGCAAGCAGGTTTTCCTGAATCAAGTAATTGCGAAATCGGCCTAACTTCTTCAGTGTGGTCCAGAGGCTTTTTTGGCGAAAAACAGCCAAGATAAACAGCCAACGCACCGACCGGCATGGGTGGCTCTAACTTGAAGCTAATCAAACACAACCAAACTCAAGAAAAGCAGCTATTGAACCTTCCTGTTCACTCGACTGCAACTTTGTGTTCCCTCCAGTGAAACACTTCATCTGTCGTCCTCAGTCCACTGTTTTACATCCTTATAAAGAAACCACTTATCAGTTACCAAGTACAGTATACACCACTTACAACGTAACCGCTTATAGTGCAGGACCGGGTATAACGCGGCTTTTTTAAACTACCGGTTCGCCTCCCATAGAACTCCATGTAATTACATACCGCTTAAACTGCAGGCGCGCGAAGGGAAATACCGGTTATAGTGCAGTTTCTGGAACAGCGCGCCGACCGACCGGCGCAGCGAGCACGCTTCCATGTGCGGCACTAGATAACGGCGGTAGCCGCAAGCGGCACTCGTGGGGGCAAGGATGGCAAGGAGGTTGCTCGAAGAAGCGAAGAGAGAGGCTTCAGTTGCCATAGCGACGGAGCGACGCACGCACGTGTCGTTCACGTGCGTGCGTCCCTCCGCTGCATTGGAAACAACAGCAACGACAGACCAATCGCGGTGCATATCAAAAAAGTGATCCGTTCTTGACACCGCTGGTGCAGAACGACAGATGGCACTACCGAACCTTGCTGAATATGGTAGAATGACAGATGGCGCTTGTCAGCCACTCGCGAGCAACGGTTTCCCGTGTGAACGAGCAGCCGACCAGCCCCGCTTGTCCATGTGGGAACCCATCGCTTGCAAGTGGCTGACAAGCGCCATCCGTCGTTCGACCATATTCAGCAAGGTTCAGTAGTGCCATCTGTCATTTTGCGCCAGCGGTAAGTGTCAGGAACTGATGAATTTTTTAATATGCAAATCGTCCGCACAAGAATGTAATTTGGGGTTTTCTAGGGTGCTTAGAGTTCGTAGACTGAGTTATGACAATGAAACGAGGATCTCAAAAAGCACTTTAGTGCGCCTTTAATCTAAAATTTGTCATGCTATACAAGCAAAGACCAATGTAGAGGGGCCGTGGTACAGGGTTTAAAGCTAGTTCGATAAGCACACATTGTTGTTTATCTCAATTTCACTTCACATGGATTTGGCTATTTTAGAAAAACAACTCCTCATTTCCTTGTCTGTAGGCATTTCTCCATCTGTGTGGAAAAAGCATCATTGTGCCTATACATAAGGTGAGGAATGCTTCAACTGTAAATAACTATTGCCCTCTATCTTTGCTATGCTCTTTGTCAAAGGCATTTGGGATTCTAATGCATGCACGTGTCTTTATCTTAAACAATGCATTATTTCCCATAAATATGGCTTCCTTAAGGGTTGATGTATCGAGAAAAATCCTTGTAGCTTTCTAGAATATTCAGTGCCCTGATGTTTTCAATTGTAGCAAAGTTGATGTTATTTATTTTTATCTACCAAAGGTATTTGATAAGGACAACCATGCTTTGCTTTTACAAATTTGGTAACAGAATGGGTTTTCCCCAATTTTAGTGAAATGGTTTAACTGCTAACTGACTGTCGATGTGTTGTACATGTTTAAAATAGTTTTTTAAATCCTTTTTGTACATTATCAAGAGTACCAGAGGGCTCCAATTTGGGATGTCTTGTTTCCGATTTTTATCAACGACTTTGCCACATATGTAGTTAGATGTCTTGCCATTCACTAATGACATTAAGCATTTTTTAGTATACAATCTGCCGACAATTAAGCCTCTGCAGAACAATGCCTTGCATAGACTAAATCGGTATTCAGCAAATGTTTTATTAATACAGATAAAACTAAAGTTTGGTCATTAAATAAAAAATAATAATAATTATTATTATAAGATGATAAGATGCAGTAAGATGATTATTCTGTCAATGATTCATGATCTCGGAGTGAATATGGATAGTCACTTTTTGTTTAGCTGCCACGTCACTCATATTGTCTGCTCTGCAGTTAGAATGCTGGGATTAAACACTCATATACTCGGAACTAAAGATTTTATGCAAGTTGCAAGCATACTTTGTTTATTTTCTACTCTTATCAGATCTAGAGTTTTGTTTGACTGTGTGGAATTTGCTCAGTGCACCTCATGCAGCCCAAATAGAATCCATTAAGTGACATCTTGTGCATATAGTACCCAGTTCATGACAGACAGTCATACACAGGTCTTCAAGTTCTATCTGTCGGAAAGCTGTTGCACAGTCTATGTTGTTTTTTTCTGTACAAAATAATTTAGTGATATGACTCTCAAGGTTGTGTACAGTGAATAATGATGCACCTGCTGGCATGAATAGGAGTTCTCTTACTACTTACCTGCACAGTCAATACATGTCATCATCAATAACAAGACTGTAGAAGACTGCAGACACATGTAAATAATTTTGGGCGTGCCAACTTCCAATATTTGTGATAATTATGTTGGATTTCAGAGGCGGTTGAGTGAGATACTTAACCTTCTTAGCAGTGCATTTTTGCTTTTGCTTGCTTCTGAGCTTTTTTTATATATATATGCCCATTTTTATATATGCCCTTCTTATTATGTTAGTTGAGCAGATTTTACATTATATTATGTGTGCCACATTACAGACAATTGGTTGCTTATGGGCACAGAAATAAAGGGATGATGATGAGGACAATAAAGTTAGTTTTCCAGTTGCTTGTAACTGCAGAAGCACACAACTGCATACCCGTCCATTCAGTGATCCGCCAGCACCAAGTTCTCCTTTGAAGACCGTGTTGTCTTGAAACATCATAGTGCCATGTCCCTAAAAAGCAGTTCCAATGTTGGAAATCAACGAAATTGGTGCTTAGTACACATGTATGCTGTAAAAAAGTTCTTACCGAAAGATTGTTGTTTACAAAGTTGCCCTCGTAGTAAATATCATCGAGGGTAACCATGATACCGTTGCCATGGCGACAGTCATCTTGCCACATGCCCATGTACTTTTCACCTGCAACAAGGTAAAAGCCTATTTTAAAAATAGAAAATTGCTGGGTAATTGTGTTGCACGTGAAACATGTGGTGTCTATGCTCTCGGCACTCTTCATTGGTTAGTTTAGCAACTGGCTTAACGGATACTTCAGCAATTTTTTTATGATCGCTGATTTGCCATGGCTGTACTAGTCCTCAAAGACATGGCTGTACTAGTCCTCAAAGTATTGTATGAAAAGAAAAAAAAATGTTTGCAAAGTTATAGAATTCTTAAATTTTGTTCTCATCATGTTTCTCGAACCGAGAGCCGCTAATGGCAACACTGACGTACGACGACAGAAATGGTACCATGCGGGCAATAAACTACATTCCCAAATGATTGCAAGACGTTTGATGGAGGGAAAAGAATGCTTGGAAGCTCATTCACTGAGAAGCACGAAAAAAAACCTGACAAACTCTGTTTAAGACTGTTTAAGACTACATGCATGATCTGAAAGTCTGTACCATTTGTGACGTCGCACAACTGGAGAGGACGCAGAAATCTGAATGTTGGTCTCAGCGTCATCTTCACTTACAGTTTTCTCAATAGCTATTTTGAATTCCGAGGCAATAACTAGCATACCATGAAGAAGTGTGGGTATTCAGAAAGTGGAATTTTTTTGGGTAGCTTAAACAAACAAACGGCTGGAGTACCCCTTTAACACGTGACATGTACACTCGATAGCAATCCCTGGAATGGAGATACTACTGGCGCTAACTTGTGTTTTAAAAACGTTTGACAGGGTGTCCAATGGCTACCTGCCGGCCACAGAGCGGAAACCCCGCAGGACTTTCCTGCCAAATAACACCTCAACTCATGGCGTTAGAAGCTCAACTCACGGTGTCGTAACATGCTGGAATGAGACTCAAAGGGAAACTCCAGTCAAAAACGAAACCAAAATATATGACTGGTATTGCTTTAGTGGCACGAGATATGATGACAGCCAAAATATTCTGTTGAAGTGAAGCCGCATATTCCATTAAAACCAATTTAGAGATGCGACCAGCTGCTCTTTAGCAGGAGGCAAGCAACACTGGACGACGCATACCGCAGCCCCACCGTGAAGACACGTTGAAGACGTACAGCTGACAATCAGTGTTGCCATCACTCTCTAGCAGATAGTTTCGGTTTTGCTATAGATACCAAAAACCAAACTTTGAGCTGCGACATTAATATAACTACACACAATATCAAGAGAAAAAAAAATCATACTTTGCCGCTCAGGGACACTGACTGAGCTGAAAACAGTCGTATACAGTATAAACCACTTACAACGTAACCGCTGATAGTGCAGGACCGGGTATAACGCGGCTTTTTTAAACCACCGGTTCGCCTCCCATAGAGCTCCATGTAATTACATACTGCTTAAAATGCAGGCGCACGAAGGGAAATACCGGTTATAGTGCGGTTTCTGGAACAGCCCGCCGACCGCACCGATTGACCGGCGCAGCGAGCACGCTTCCCTGTGCGACACTAGATAACGGCGCTAGCCGCAAGCGGCACTCGCGGGGCAAGGAGGTTGCTCGAAGCAGCGGGGAGAAGCGAAGAGAGGGACTTCAGTTGCCATAGTGACGGAGGGACGCACGCACATGTCGTTCACATCCGTGCTTCCCTCCGCTGCATTGGAAACAAAACAACCGCAACGACAGACCAATCACAGGTGGAGGAGGGAGAAGTGTTCGCGCGCGCTGCATGCCGGTCGCGGGCCGGCTTCTTCTATCCACAAACATGGCGTCGGTTGTGATCGTCGACGTAGAAGGCGTGGTGGAAGCTCATCATTCCGCGTAAAAGCGCTATCCTTGACTGTGAATTTTCGTTGTGTGTCGCTATGATAACCCAGCACGTACAAGAAGGGAAGATCCACCTACTCGTGCGGCGATGTCGTGGCGGCACTCTCAAGACGGCAGAAATGCCCGTGTCATGTTTGTTTACTTCGATTACAGTGGTGCTTTCTAAGCATTCGTGTTTTCGAACATCGCCCGGATTTCTTATTTGGAGCATTTCATGCCTGTGCTCAAGTTGAAGGTATTACTGGCGCATACCATATAAAGGATGCAAATTTTCACGCGTTTTCATCACCGGAGAAAAGTGATTAGGGTTAGCAATCCTGAACGCTCGCAATGCCCGCCCGTAGCCCGCAACGCCGTTAAAAGGCTGCGCCAGGCAAAAGTTGCTCATTTCTTTCAAAATGTGTGACAGACAGATGTATTAGTCTGGTGAAATATAGACTTTCCTCAAACTAAGCTTTAATTTTCATCTAACATAAAATAAATCCTTTTACAAAGGTAAGTTGTCTCATGGCATGTATTTTGGCCTGAAGAATTTATGTTTTGATTATAGCGCGGTACCGCTTATAGTGCGGATTTTCGCGACTCCCGCGACATACGTTATATGCGGTCTACACTGTACTACTCCCAAATACAAAAATATTGACCAGAGTTCCTCTTTAAAGGGACACTGACAAGGTATTTATGTTCGCCAAGGTTTTTAATTGTGCATGACATACGAGAGCCCAATTGGCCAGAACACAATTTGCGGCTTGAAATTTGTTTTCTTTCTGCCCGAAAACCGTCGATCGAGAACTGGCCAGTTTGAGTCGCGCTCACTCTCTTTGTGGTCACGTGCCGTTTTCTATGGTTTAGACAGTCACTAAATCTAATAAAAGTCGTGGGTCATCGAAGGCACACAGTCAATATTAAAAATAGAAACAAAATGATACCAAATTTTTGTAGCTTCTAAAAAGCTGCAAATATGTTGATATAAAAAAAAAAAAAGTTGCACAGTCATGTGAATTACGGTAACTTTCTCCTCCTCTATATATTTCTTCTTCCTCCCCAGTCCAGTTTCGGTTTCGAGCAGTTAAGCATTTTTATTTTCTTAAAAATATATGTGACACTGTAGCAAAATATTGATTGGGTAGTCTTCCGACACCATAATAGATTGCCTACCAAAAAATAAAAAAATAAATTTCGGGGGGGTGTCAGTGTCCCTTCAATAATATAAATAGCCCGAGTTCAATTCCTGCCTGGCATAGATGCTTTTTTACTGCAATGGCCTCTACCCCACCACTCAAAACCAACGAACGTCAAGCCTCGCTGCCACGCCTTTTATCCAGGCTTCACTTTTGGGCGTCACGAAATGCCGAACACCTAGCCAAAGAATGTTTTGCGATAATAGTTTCCTAGCATTTCATGAAATGAAACAAAAGAAAACAGCTGAAGTGTCCTGTTTAACCAGGCATACAATAGAACAAAAGCATCTTTAGTATTCCGAGATGCACACAAAAGAGGGGGGTGCTGCAACGAAGCAGTGAGCTTTCTCGCTCTCACGAGGCAAAAAAAATTCATGATGCACAGCTGCACTACCATCCTTTCTCTACTCGATGCCTTGCTCACTTGCCTGGGAGCATCTCGGTGTTTCGTGCCACCTACTGTATGCTCGACAAACGGCTCAGAAGGATGCACTCACAATACAAGTTTTTAAATAGCTTCTAAGGTGACTTTCCATTAACTGAAAAATACTTACAATGAATGTGGGGCTTCCCAAATATTTTAAAACCCTATTAAAAAAATATTATTTTAAAACAAAAAGAGTGGAAAATCAACTAGAACACAAAATGTAACTTACTAGTTAGTTCTCAAATATTTGCACACCCCAAGTAAATTTACATGTACTATCGCGGACAATATAAGCTGGAACAGACCTTCATGCTTCTTTGCCCTAGCTGCCAGTTTTTGAAAGAGTTGTGGTCTACACTCTGAATTGCATGTGAAGTCAGGGTTTCATTCTTTAGATTACTCAATAGCTTGAGAGAGAACAGAGCTTGTTGGGACCTAAGACACCGAAAATGGCTGGATCTGGTGTTTCAGCTCATATTATAAGTGGGTGTACTTTTTTTTTTTTAATTTACCAGCTAATAATGATGTCTCGGAAAACTACCCACCTTCTTTCTCGTTGTCAAGGACACCATAGCCATGTCGTTTGTTCTGATACCACTGACCAACATAAATGCTTGAGGAAGAGAGGAATTTCCCTTCCTTTAGGATTCCGTGACCATCCTTCAAACCATCTTTGAAGAATCCTTCGTAGAGGTCACCGTTGGGATATCTAGAAGTAACAGAAAGCAAAAAATATAACCTTGATGCAAGTTGCACTTATAGGGTCATCCCAAACATCTCTTCAACCTAAAACCCTAAAAATGGGCATCTAAAACTTGAAACTAGCAAGCTGAATTTTTACTGAAGCTACAGTGAAGTTGTCCTACCCCTGTGATATTTTGAAGTGTAACTCCCTCTCCACTGAAAATACTCTCCTTAGCAAAATCATATACAAACGATGAGAAGTTTCCCAAGTTCTCACGGCGGTCGAGTTGACTAAAATTCAACTGCGGAAAACCAATAACTAAATAACACTTTCGAGGAAAACTGCAGCTTTCTGCATCCAAACACCGACTATGGTCACTTTTTTTATGGTGTCTATAATATTTGGGACACCGTATAATAGCCCCGAGAGCGAACACAAGCGTTGCTGCGGTCGCCGCGCCTTGATCGGGTGAGGTGTGCCGTGACTTCAGGGGGATGACTCCGCTCCGCGATCTTGCATCAGCTCGCTTCCCAGTACCGGTTTCCTGGTTTAGCGTTGTGTGCCGCAAGCTCTTTGAGGATCTGGACTTCGTTTACCCGGTGTACAAGACGTTGATTTAGGCCGATATTGACGTGCTTCCGTACATTTCATAAGCCTGCTTGTCCCTTTTACCTTTAAAGTTGGGTTACAAATCCCGAAAGCCATCGGCGGAGGCGATTCCGCCGATGAACCTCCCCGTCCGTCCACACGACACAAGGCAATTTTGCGAGGGATCGGTGAAGCGGTGGCGCAAGTGTTTCAGACGCTGGAATTCTCCTCCTTGCATGTTCATGATTTAGGACGATATTACATCCCGCTTTCAAGGAATTTGAGTGTCATTTATATCATGGGCCTTTGGGTGGTCGGCAAATTAGCTTGCGACCCCGACTTTGCGCTGCCACTCTGTATGCGCTGGTTCGCAGATATTTTAAAGGCCCTGTGTCTGATTATCTTTGAAATGCTCGTGGAACAGGGTTGTTTTACATAAATGTAGCTTCTTCGTGAATTAATTATATAGTTTATACACGTATGCAGGCATATTTCTTAGAAGATGCGCAATTACTGGAAATTAGTTTGTATGGTAGCAGCAAAAACGGCCGAATTGCCCCCAGTTGCCTGTATGATACGTATTGAACTGCCCAAAATATGCACAGCAATAGTGCCGTAATTAGGAATGCTTATACTTTTTCCTGACATTTTTATTCCAGCCTTGGGTATTCGGAAAATACACCGTTTAGTCTGAATTGTCATTTCCAATTTAAAGAGACACTGCTGGAGGTCTCCAAAAGCTTCCTCAGCCTCCAAACTCCCTACAGCTGGACTCTCTGACAACAGAGGAAAACAGGAGTAAAAGCAAGCGTTCAAACGTCTGTCCAGTGGTAGATGCAGCACTAGTAGCAGAAAATCTGGAACCTGTGAAGGGCGACAGTCTGCGTGAGAAAAGCTGGTATTTTAGCTTCAGAACAATTCAATTTAAGTAAAATCTCAATTTTAGGGCTTAAGGGACTAATAACGAGCTAGACACATTCGCTTACGTTTGTTTTACATTACTTGAGCGTTGATATAAACAAGTTCACAGATACCACCCGTGTAGTCCATTGAAATACTATCCGAATCCAGCAAAGGTCAAATGCGAGCAATGTATATAATAAATGTTCCTTGTTTTTTTTACTTTGCCCTGGCACTTGGGCTGTCTTACTTGTGATTCTCTCCCCATGGCCCAGACTGTATTTAGCATATTGCTCGAGCAGCATGCAGCTTTTCTGCTTCGGCAATCTTGTTTAAAAACAGATACGAAAAAAAAAAAATAGTATACATAACCTGCCAATTCATTCAGACCATCAGCAGCATTTATTGTGCGAGATGTAAATCCATAGTGATGCTCCTGCAATTGTGGCCATATTTCTTTATTTTCATATACCAGCTGCGATTCATGCGTTGCCTGCCCTGTCAACCGTGCTTCAAATGTTGGTTGAAGTTTCGCCTGTAGCTACAGGCCATACCTCAAAGAAGACACATATAAAAATTTACACTCCCTACGAAAAGCACGCAAAAAAAAAAACATTAAATAGAAACGAGCGTGCCGACAGTTAGCGTCGTCACAGCCTCCACAGGGCGAGCGGGACGAGTCGGGGAAAAATTCTCTCCTCGCCGTGACGTCACCCCGGTGTGCCGTAAGGGGGCGCCACGCGAACTTGTTGGGGCTAATACAGTGTAGACCGCATATAACGTATGTCGCGGGAGTCGAGAAAATCCGCACTATAAGCGGTACTGCACTATAACCAAAACATCAATTTTTCAGGCCAAAATACATGCCATGAGACAACTTACACTTGTGAAAAGAATTTATTTTATGTTAGATGAAAAATAAAGCTTAGTTTGAGGAAAGTCGTTATTTCACCTGACTAGTACAGTTCTGTCTCAAGTGTGTTACACATTTTGAAAGAAATGAGCAGCTTTTGCCTGGCGCAGCCTTTTAACGGCGTCGCGGGTTGCGGACGGACGTTGAGAGCGTTCAGGATTGCTAACCCTAATCACTTTTCTCCGGAGATGAAAACGCGTGAAAATTCGCATCCTTCACACGGTACGCGCCAGTAATACCTTGAACTTGAGCGCACGCATGAAATGCGCCAAATAAGAAATCCGGGCGATGTTCGAGGACACGAATGCTTAGAAATCACCACTGTAGTCGAAGTAAACAAACACGACGACACGGGCGTTTTTGCCGTCTTGAGAGCGCCGCCACGACATCGCCGCACGAGTAGGTGGATCTTCCCTTCTAGTACGTGCTGGGTTATCATAGCGACGCACAACGAAAATTCACAGTCAAGGATAGCGCTTTTACGCGGAACGATGAGATGAACGCCGTCTACGACGACGATCACAACCGACGCCGTGTTTGCGGATAGGAGCAGCCGACACGCGACCGGCATGTAACGTGGTAACGCGCGCAACCCTTCTCCTCGACCTGCGATTGGTCTGTCGCTGCAGTTGTTTGTTTCCAACGCAGCGGAGGGACGCACGCACGTGAACGACACGTGCGTGCGTCCCTCCGTCGCTATGGCAACTGAAGGCTTTCGCTTCTTCCCGCTTCTTCGAGCAACTCGGCTCTGGAGCAACTGCCACGCGAGTGCCGCTTGCTGCTCGCGCCGTCAGCGCCGTTATCTAGTGTCGCACAGGGAAGCGCGCTCGCTGCTCCGGTCGTCGGCGCGGCCGGCGGGCTGTGCCAGAAACCGCACTATAACCGGTATTTCCCTTCGCGCGCCTGCATTTTAAGCGGTATGTAAATACATGGAGTTCTATGGGAGGCGAACCGGTGGTTTAAAAAAACCGCGTTATACCCGGTCCTGCACTATAAGCGGTTACGTTGTAAGTGGTCTATACTGTAATAGAGCCACTCGTATATAATAACCCCAGAAACAGTCAACAAGGCTTCTTGTAATGCCAACCAAAAGGTTTTGAACAAGCCAAGACAGATCAACTACAGCTGACATGGTAACACCACAAGCTCCATACTTCAGACTAAAAGTTTCTAGCTGACAATACAAATATTTGGTGCTTCCCCTGCATTTTCATGAGAAAAATAAGAAACACTAGTAAAGAAGCAGTCAACCCACCTGGCACTCCCGAGCCCATGAAGTTTGCCGTTCTTCCAGGTACCCCGGAAAACGGTGTCCCCTCCGTAGCCAGGAACCACATACTCGCCCTCTCCGTGCTGCAGGTTGTTCTTAAACTTGCCAATGTATCTCCGGCCATCGCTCCAAACAAGCTTGCCTCTGTAGTCACCGGTCAGAAAGAAGGCCAAGCTACATCATGGGCCTGGTTACCCAGTCTCAGCTGAGTGACCCCAGGCAATAGCAAAACACGAGGAGATCTCGAGAAAGACAGTGCTATACACCGAGCAACAAACTTTAAGTGGTCTACATATCACTTTGGGGTAATGGAAGCATGAATCCCCACATATGTCTAACACAGGCATTGTATGGAACACATCAAAGTAACAACCTTCCCCAAATTGTAGGTATCTGATCATTGCACTGCCTCACCACTCCCTCATTCACCATGCGATAATGCTAGCTTAGTGGCAACTTGTTCTCTATACACCTGTAAAATTCAGAACAAACCCAACTGAGATTGTAAGGCTACTAAGCCGGGCTAGTATCATGTTGGGGAGTTAACTGAAACAAATGAGAGTCAAATAAATGTGACATACGATCCATGCAGTTGACCCTTGAGCCATGATCCCTTGTAGGTGGCATCCTTGTACGCCACCGACTTAGTGAAGACGTAAGAGGAGTGGCGGACGTTAGGAGGAACCAGTCGGCCATCTGACAGGCCTTTCTTCAGACTCTTCAGCGGGTTTTCTGACCTCCCATGGTTCAGCAGGTTACGAATTGCCTGGTTAAGGCTGCAGACCCACTCAGTCTGGAAAAAATATATATCCCCAACTGTCTTCCTATACCTCTTCCTTGTATTCCTGCTCTGAATTCAAACAATGCGGGACACTACCCAAAAGGATCAACTTTTGAATCTTTGGATTAATATGCATGAAATTACAGTATATACTAGCAGTTGCAAGGCAGAATGCAGTGTAAAGTTTCACCTGCGTACATGATTTGTAAAAGAATTTATAGTTGTTTTTATCCGGAACAGACTGACTTTGTTAAGGAAAGCTACTGTTAAGAACAAATGTAATACCCAACATTTTTCTTCACTAGATACGCAGCAGAATGCCTGGAATGTGCAACTGTGAAAACAAAATTTTATAAAGTAATTTATTTTACGCTATCACGGTGAAAAATCAAATAAAGTTTTGCCTTTTACGTTGTCGACAAAATCTTAACATCTTTTATAGAAGACATTAACAAAGTAAAAAAACAATGCCACAGTTGGATTGCTCATTAAATTTCAGCTAGGAAAAACAATGAGTGAGTCTTTCCTTTCGCATTCAAAGTGCACCAACCTATACCTTTTCTTTAGCATCGGTGGACCAAAAATAATTTATAAAGAAATAAAACTATGCAGTGTAAACTAATGACACTTTCTGGGAATACTCTCTAGAGGTTGGTAGATGTGAATATGCCCTTTTTCAAAATCTACCTTTCTAGTCCAATTTCTTTTTCTTACTGGACAGTGTCCCCTTTTACTTTCAAGTTACATGGAGGATTTAAATGCTTCCATGCAGGGGTCCACACCATCTCGTCCAATTTATATTGGACAGAAGGGGCAAACCTAGGAAAGGTTACTTTAAACGCTGTTCAGAAAATTTTCTTATTTGAAGGCCTAGCTAGTACATTTGCTAAACACTACCTATTCCAGAGTATTATCATAGCAACAAAATGCTTGCCTTGTTTGTTATTTATATATTTAAGTGACTAAACATCAAAATTCTCTTAAAATTTCATAACTATTAATAAAAATAGTTAAAGACCGACCAACGAAATCATTTTCCGCAAGGTAGGAAAATGCACCTCGCGCCCTCCTCTTTTCACCCTCTCCCAAAAATCACGTGACGGCAGGGGCTACTTTTGTGTCGGCTTTTTCTGTAGGGATAATCCTCAAAAAGCGCGAAATAAGCAGCTAGCTGCGAGCGCCACAACGACCTTGAGACGTCCAGGTGTCTTCCCTCGTTGACGCGGGCACGCTCATTCCGCGAGATTGAGGAAGCCAGCGCGACCGAACGCTTTTTCCCATGAGCTGCAGGTCCGAGGCTGCTCGGTCGGTGGAGATCGAGGGGTCGTGAAATGCTGGGTTCGTTCCAGCAGCCGCTTTCCGGCATCGCGCGGCTGCTGGAACCATTCCCGTCTCTGCAGAATGATTGGCTTGGGCAATAGAGGGTTCAGGCTGTCGATAATATATTTATTTTTGAAACTGATAAATCAAGTGGCTTTCCCTAGTCTCTTCATTACTGTTTGAAACACATCTCTCATAGGTTGTTCATCCCATTTTGGACTCTTTTGCGTATTTATTCGTCCTTACCTCTGCTTGATGACTGTGTTATAACTTGATAAAGACCTTTAAATATTGGCGCGGACTTGCACGGTCAACGCTGTCCCGGATTTATCCAAAATTGGAAAGATTGGCGTCAGGAGGGGTTGAAGAAGCAAACCGTAATTCTTGCTTCTAATGAAGAGGGCACAATCGTAAGATAGGTCTTTGCTTCACTTGCCTCCACAACGCCCCATCGTTTACACTATCGCAACTTCTCAGTAACATAGCTGTATACCACATTTTACTCGTGGTTACTTTAGATGTGGCCTTACAGGCTTTCCCGTTATCTGCACGTCGACATTTTAACGACCGGCGACTCTCCTGAGTGAGAATAAATATTATCAACTTCCCACAAAATCCACCCCTTTCTCTCCCCCCCTCTTGCTTTCCCGAGTTGGGGAGATATCAGGCCACTCCAGGAAGCAGCTTGCAGACTGCGCTTTTTGGCTACTCATTCTCAACACATTCGAACGTGGAAGGAAACACATCGCATGAACGACGCCCAGTTTATTTGCAACTTAGATAATATGGCTCTACTGTTGGGGCCCAATCAATTTCATCATCAATCATTATTTGTTACGATTTCATGGTGAAAGTATGTTCGTCGTGATGCCACAAAAGTGGTCGATTCAAAAGGAGAAATAGGTCCTCGTATTTATTTTGCGGAAATTCTCGCTCCTGTGACGCTCTAGTGCGTAAGGTCAATGCACCCGAGGCAGTGCGTAATACTTTAAAACTGTCGTTGACGATTGTATTTGTAGGAAGTGCGTAAAATTCGTTTACACCACAAAAGCATACCTAAAGACAACAAAATACCGCAATGGCAAAAAAAAAAAAAAAAAAAAAAATCAGCTTGCGAAAACCGTTGCTTTCCTCTCTCTCTCTAACTCTCTTTTTTTTCGCGCCACTACAAAAAATAGCGGCCGAGCAACGAAATTCTATCAAAACCTCGCTTCTTGGAGGAAGGAGACCAGGCTATATGGTAGTGAATCTGCCAGGAAGTTTGTAGAAATAATAGGCGACCATTGAACCTAGCCTTCTGCACAAATCATGCCCGGGATATTTCCATTTTCCTTCCACGCGATTAGAAGGCAAGACGCTGGGAGAATTCATGTGCACTAACATGCTGCTTCTAAAAGAAATTCCCACATTTATAGTGCATGTCAGTTTAGATGTAAATAGTTTAATCACTGTGCACTAACATTCGCGGCCTGGAGGATGACATGGAAGCATGGCGGAAAGCAGCTTGCTGAAAATAGAAGTCTCTATTGCATTGCACTGGAGTGGAGAATTATTACGTATTTTTGTTTTATTTCCGTGCCAAAATAAAAACAGCGTTTAGAAACCGAACCATGTGCGTTTTGAGGAGCGCCGAAAGGACATGAAAAACTGGGACAACCAGAGCTTGTCCTGCTTCCTTGCTTGTTCGGAGCCTTTCAAAAGGGGATGAAAAATTATGAGCCGAGTGACCCGACTTATCACATTAGAGCAGTCAGTTCATTTTCATTGCAACAGGCTGTCTTCAAGCGTCTTGCATAGTCCAGCTCGTACTGATCCGTTTTTATTTTCGGTTCCTTTCAAAACGTGAGCTCTAAGCCACTGGACTAAACTACCACAATCATAATCTGCGGAAGTGGAGAAGTGGAAATGCAACAAAATGAATGATTTGCCCACGTTATTTGAGGCCTATAGAAAAGCGGACCGGATAGAAGGGGGCCGAAATTTTTTCCAGAAACACAAAATCTTGTTTTCAATTCTGTCTAACAATTCGATGTGAAGGCGTACTTGTCTATGGCATTATTCGTTTAGGAATCAAGCTAAACTTTGTAGCGGATCATTATACGTCTATGTTCATTCCCAGTTGATGCTTATAATGTTTTCGACTATGTACATGGGGTGGTTTTCAGCGGTAGGTTTTTAATCTGATTGCCGCCAGAGCGCGAGCCAGAACGCACTACGGCCGCGGGCCGTCGCGCTCTTCTCCTTCTTCTCCGTATCAATGTACAATCAAAGACGCGGGCGGAGCCGTCAATCGTGCTGGTGTCGGGAACCATTAAGTCTGACCCTTGAAGTGCAGGCGCGACGCAAAACCCAGAGGCGTCTCGTTCGCCCATCGTTCTTCCCAGGCGGCGGAGATTGTCGTTTAGAGGGGATTATCTTCTGAACGGATCCAAGTTACTCGAGCAAGCTCGCATTCTGCTCGCAAAGCCCAGCCACTAAGCAAAGCTTACGGACGGTGGTTCGAAAGGCGTGCAACCCTTGCCCGCTTGACCCTCCCAACCACTTCTCCGCTTCCGTAAATTTTGAATGTTGTAGGTTTGTCGAGTGGCTTAGAGCTCACTTTTTGAAAGGAACCGAAAATAAAAACGGACCAGTACAAGCTGAACTATGCTAGACGCTCTAAGAGAGCCTGTCCTAATGAAAATGAACTGCTCTAATTTGGCAAGTCGGGTCAATCGGTTCATAATTTTTCATCTCCTTTTGAAAGGCTCCGGAAAAACAAGAAACCAGGAAAAGCTGAGTGACGCAAGGCGCCTCGTATTGTTGAGGTTGTCCCGGTTTTTTATGTCCTTTCGGCGCACCACAAAACGCACAGTGTTCGGTTTCTAAACGCTGTTTTTATTTTCACACGTAAATAAAACAAAAATACGTAATAATTTTTCACACCAGTGCAATGCAAAAGAGACTTCTATTTCCAGCAAGCTGCTTTCCACCATGCTTCCATGTCATCCCCCAGGCCGCGAATGTTTGTGCACACTGATTAAACTATTTATATGTAGATTGACATGCACTAGAAATCTGGTACTTTCTTTTAGAAGCAGCATGTTAGTGCACATAAATTCCCCTAGCGTCTTGCGTTCTAATCGCGTGGAAGGAAAATGGAAATATCCCGGGCATGATTCGTGCAAAAGGCTAGATTCAATGGTCGCCCATTATTTCTACAAACTCCCTGGCAGATTCACTACCATATAGCCTGGTGTCCTTCCTCCAAGAAGCGAGGTTTTGATAGAATTTCGTTGCTCGGCCGCTATATTTTTGTAGTGAAGCGAAAAAAGAGAGAGAGAGAGAGAGGGGGGGGGGGGGGAAGCAACGGTTTTCGCAAGCTGATTTTTTTTTTCTTTTTGCCATTGCGATATTTTGTTGTGTTTAGGTATGCTTTTGTGGTGTAAACAATTTTACGCACTTCCCACAAATATTTCATCGTCAACGACGGTTTTAAAGTATTACGCACTGCCTCCGGTGCGTTGACCTTACGCACTTGAGCGTCACAGGAGCCAGAATTTCCGCAAAATAAATACGAGGACCTATTTCTCCCTTTGAATCGACCAGCTTTGTGGCATCACGACGAACATACTTTCACCATGAAGTCGTAGAAATAATGATTGATGATGAAATTGATTGGGCCCCAACAGTAGAGTCACATTATTTAGGTTGCAAATAAACTAGGCGTCGTTCATGCAATGGGTTTGCTTCCACGTTCGAATATGTTGAGAATGAGTAGCCGAAAAGCGCAGTCTGCAGGCTGCTTCCTGGAGTGGCCTGATATTTCCCCAACTCGGGAAAGGGAGTGGAGGGGGGGGGGGGGGGGGGGGGGAGAGAAAGGTGTGGATGTTCTGGGAAGGGGATAATATTTATTCTCACTCAGAAGAGTCGCCGGTCGTTAAAAAGTCGACGCGCAGATAACGGGAAAGCCTGTGGGGCCACATCTATAGTAATTATCAGTAAAACGTGGTATACAGCTATGTCACTGAGAAGTTGCGATAGTGCAAACGATGGTGCGCTGTGGAGGCAAGTGAAGCATAGACCGATCTTACGATTGTGCCATCTTCATTAGAAGCAAGAATAACGGTTTGCTTCTTCAACCCCTCCTGACGCCAATCTTTCCAATTTTCAATAAATCCGGGACAGCGTTGATCGCACAAGCCCGCGCCAATATTTAAAGGTCTTTATCAAGTTATAAAACAGTCATCAAGCAGAGGTAAGGACGAATAAATACGCAAAAGAGTCCAAAATGGGGTGAACAACCTATGAGATGAGATGTGTTTCAAACAGTAATGAAGAGATTAAAAAAAAGCCACTTGATTGATAAGTTTCGGAAATAAATGTATTATCGACGACATGAACCCTTTATTGCGCAAGCCAATCCTTGTGCAGAGACGGGAATGGTTCCAGCAGCCGCGCGATGCCAGAGAGCGGCTGCTGGAACGAACCCAGCATACCAAGACCCTCTATCTTCACCGACCGAGCGGCCTCGGACCTGCAGCTCATGGGAAAAAGTGTTCGGTCGCGCTGGCTTCCTCAATCTCGCGGAATGAGCGTGCCCGCGTCAACGAGGGAAGACACCTGGACGTCTCAAGGTCGTTGTGGCGCTCGCAGCTAGCCGCTCATTTCGCGGTTTTTGAGGATTATCCCTACAGAAAAAGCCGACACACAACGAGCCCCTGCCGTCACGTGATTTTTGGGAGAGGGTGAAAAGAGGAGGGCGCGACGGGCATTTTCCTACCTTGCGGAAAATAATTTCGTTGGTCGGTCTTTAAGAAGAAAGTCAACCTTAACATTTGCCAGTGATGTTATTTGCTAGTGTTGCAGCATTCTACAACTAAAAAAAAACTAATTCATGCCACAAAAGGCACACAAACACACACACACACAATCAGCTAACCAAGGTGCCTTTGTCATGCTGTTGCATAGTAACAACAAGCACATCAACATGTTTGCTTCAAGTGCTGCAACAAATTTTAGTGCAAATGGAAGCTCTGTCTGGACATTCCAATTCAACTCACTTTTTCAGAAGAAGTGGGGCAGCTGAACACCAAGACCTCTTCCGGTGTTGTTATAGCAAAAACGTTCCTGTGAGATAATGTCAGACCAGAATCCACTCAGCCAAATTCAAATATAACGCCCAGCCATAAAATGCGCAGCACTGTAGTAGCAGCACAATGAACAAATGACCTGCCTAATTTCAGACATGCAAGTTAGCTCTACGAGAAAATCATACCACCCATTAAAATATGCAAGTCGCACACAATCACTTCACTTACTCTGACTCAGTGTCCGCTTCAACCCATGCAGTTTCCAAGTTGTAGTTCTGGAACCCTCCAAACTAGAAAATTGAAAGAAAAAAAAAAAAAAAAAAAAAGCCTCCAGAGTAAGAACACAATTCTGAAAATAGAGATTGTGATATTCCTGCCCCTTTTAGTCATTTCTTGGATTATATAAAAAAAATACCTGGGCTAGGTTAACTCACGTGGCAATGAACAAATTTGTCATTGAACAAGATGAAGTGGTGCGAAGCAAAGCGGCCAGCCGACACCAGGTGTAGGGGGTGAACCTTGCTATCCCGCAGCATCCTACAGTTTGGAAGCCTGTATGCCTCCTACAAAACAAAAAGTTACTTAAGATAATATGGAAATGCAAGCCAAATAAGCAGAATGATGGTGAAGGAGCAGCTCTCACCACAACTTTCTGGGAGACACTCTCCCAGAAATTTTTGGTTGCCTCCGCCAAAGCTAGTTCCTTGCTTGAAATGTCCGAAAGGACTGCCCACTCATTCAGGCAAGACTGAAAGTGTCGCCAGGGCTTTGTCTGTCGACACCAGAGAGAAAGTCTCGTCATATTCTATAGCCAGCAACAGGTTTAAAACCACAGGGTATATCTCTTGGCAACACAAGCCTTTCACCGAGAGCATGCAGTCTCAGCCAACGTTCTGGCTACATGAGAGCTCCAACTGTAAAGCTACAGTTTCCAAGTGGTTGGGCATCATCAATTCTAGGCACTTGTACCAGGCCAAATGACGCATACATGGCTATTCAAAAGCAGTCATTAACAATTAACTATAAGGCTTCATTTGGAGCTTATAAATGCTCAATTTTGAGGAGAGGCACCTGTGCCATTGCTGGTAATACAAGCTGGATTGCCGGAACATGCGGTGATTGCACTTACCACCGTTAGGCATTAGAGAACAAAGCCAGTTTTTACTGATTGCTGCTCCAGCTTATCACACTAGTATTGCTTCGTAATCATAAAATAATCAAAAGCTATCAAGGAGCAAGCCTTACTGGTCCCATTACGCGAAAAAGTGGCGGTGTTGTGCCCGAAAGATGGTCACACCGATATGTCATCAAGCACGTGCCTCGGACTTAAGACACAAAGAAAAGCACAGCAACGCAGATGCTTCGTCACGGAAGCTGTCGTGAAGCCAGCGGGGTTCACCGCGCCTGCGCAGTGGGGGAGCGTGATGTCACTGCCGGCGGGCCGCGTGAAAAAGGAAGACGTGGCGCGCTGTTTGTAGGAATGTGCTGAGTGTAGGGAAGCCTTTTGCATTCCTACACATAAGCAGTCTTAAGCAGTCAAAGACCACTACTGTGGTATGCAAGTTTGTCCTGTCCATGATCTGCAGCATCCATTCTAACATCGTGAGAGTCTGTAGCAAATGGACATATACTCATTTTGTATAAATTTTAAATGTTGCATATCGAAAGATTGCTCACCCAATATATTTCACTATTTATTTCTACCCCATCAGTGGGCATTTGTTCAGGACTTTATGGGAAGGTAAAAAAAAGAACAGAAACAAAGACTAAATGTGGTGAGGCCAACCTGTTGGTCCACCCCGGTCAAGAGCCGACTGAACAGCCTCGTATACTCCCCAATCCTCTTCACAGGGAGACTCAAAAGCTGCAGCAAAATGGACTGGGAATTCTTCAGGCTGATGTCTCCTACAATCTCTTTGGCAAACCGATTCAGGGCATTGGGAGAAAACCTAGAATGCAAGAGGAAAAATATTGGCTGGCAATATAATAAATGCGGTTGATATCGGACAGCAAACGAAGTATGGCGTGGTGTTATAGATCACTATGAAGTTAAAGGATGAGCCCAGAATGTATGTTCACCATAACCAGATACTTACGTACTGAAACAACAACACAAACAAAATCATGTTTGTGCTGGAGAACATGCTGAAGTCAGGACACCGGGTTAAGGCATCAATAACTCTTCAGTTATCACACTATGAAGTAACTCAAAGCCTAAGAGCTGTGCGGTTCAGGTGGTTCTCAAGACCATCTGTGTTTTAATTAATGAAATGGGGGGCAACAAGTGCTATAAATATGTAACAAGTGATATTCAAGAAGATCAACAGTGATCATAAATACTCCCCAAATTTATAGACCAAAGAGCATTTTTGCCTAGCATGCAATCCAGTTTAAAGAAAACATGTAGGCCGCTTCATAGCTTACACAATCATCCTCGAGAGCAGCACGAAACCTCCAACAGCAAGGAAGTTGGTGAGTGCCTTGATGTAACTCCAGAAAGCTTCAATCCATTCGGGTGTATTCTCCAAGATTGCAATTGCAGCAGAACATTTATGATTCTGCAGGAGCTCAGTCAGGTCGTACGCATTGCAAGACAGCAACGAGATCAGCTTGTGCGCAGATCCCACCATCACCTTCAGTGGCTTGCAAGCGTAGTCTGGAACATCTGCCACCAGGCTGCCTGCAAATGTTTTTTTCCCCCGTATAGGTTATATTTTCAACAGTATCCACACAATGCAATTGTTTCTTTCAAATTACAAAAATAATAACCCTAGTTTGAAATAAACTGAATAATGGGATTAAGTCTGACGAAGGGTGTGAGCTCAGAACGATGCTTGTTTCCTTTCCCCTTTTCCCCTTCTCGTTTCATGTTTTATCTCTCATGCTTTTAGTTTTGTGCCCAATTTTTTTGTAGAGCAACATTCAAATATTCTAGTCCTTCACATGCCGTTAAAACATTTAGCATCAATGGTTCCCGTAACAGGCTAGGCCGCTGGAGATAATTTTTTTATTGGGCACTCAAGAACAACGTTGCAAGGCAATGAGGCATTCCTCTTAAGACTCCGCGTCAAGGTCAAATGTTTCTGGGCCAGCAGCATAGCCTGGTCGTTATGGTAGAGAGGGCCATTGCTTGGTGAAGCTCTACAAGACCACTGCACGGGCCCGGGCCCACCCAAAACCCCAGGCCTAGCCCAGGTGGTGCACATTTTCCCGCAAGCTGGGCTCGCATTTGAAACTTCATTTCGAGCTCGGGCCACATTTGGACAAGCGAGTGTTACATGGACTCACACTCTGCAAGATGATGAGAACAATATGAGCCTACTACAAACCAATGGTTCAAAGAAAAACGGAAAGGACATGCTTTAGTAGGTTGGAGAAGGGGCACAATTCACTTAAGAGGGATGGCAGAGCTGCCATTCTCCTTTTGTTACTCTGGGAATAAAAAAAGTGAACTAAGACTGTCAATAATTCCTCTTATAATTTTACCATTATGTGAAAAAACCTTGAAACAACTAAAAGTAGAATAGACAGGGAAAGAAGTCAGTCGGAGGACGTTTCAAACTCAAGTAACAAGTTTATTCAGTAAACCTCTCTTATACACTTTGAAACCAAAGTCGTCACCAACCAACACAACAAACAAAACAAAAAAAAGGTTTCTTTTCCCTTTCCTATCTTTTCTACAAACTTTGCAGCCACCTATGTACACACTTATGACATGTCCAGGCCTTGGTTGCAATGTATATATAAGAGGTTGACGGAATAAACTTACTGGCCTAATTTGAGACGTCGTCTGACTGACTTCTTTCCCCACCTCTTTTACTTTTAGTTGTTTAAGGTGTTTTCACACCCAGTCTCAGGTGTCCTAACATAATGGTAAACTTACACCAGCTCGTGCCTGCGCCCTGTGTTTTCACTCTTATATATATTTTTTTTTTTAGGACAAGCATTTTGTAGCTTTTTTCTTGAATTGTTTAGTTAACATTTTCTCTCTTTATTGCTTGTCTGGGTATCGATTTCACAATGACCCATTTGAATGGGTCTATGGTGTTCTAACGCAACGAACTGCCCTGTTACAAGTCCTATGAGCAATAAACATTTGACTGACAGGCTATGTCCCATTTGGATTGCTTGGTATAGATAGCATGGTGGAAGACCAAGTTAAAACAGCAAATGAAAGCTATTGCGCAAGGTCGGGCCCATGTTAAAATAAAACTGTGGGGCTCAAGCCAGACTCAGGCTCACGTCTCTATCGAGCAGAGTTGGGTATGGCCTAGAAATCCTGGCCCATGCAGTGTTCCAAGCTCTACGACTAGTGAAGCAAATAAATAGGCACACACCGTCCTTAACAAGGTTTTGGAAGACCTTTGTTTGCACCATGCACATGTTGTCGAGACACCTTCGCTCTGATGCTGCAAACTCGTAGAGTGTCCGCATTTCGTCCGTCTCGTTCAAGTCCATGATACAACCAGAAGAAGGACCACCAGCAAACACGTGCGTGATCAGGCCTCCCTGCAAGATATCCAGGTTACAATCCATTCAGCACCACTGTCCCATGGAAGACTGCAAGGCTCATACAAACTCAAGTCAGCAACTTGTAAATAGTAAGTGGATATGTTTGCTGAAAATGATCTACACATGAGTGAGTGAAGTGAACATACTCGACACAATTTTGGTATAACAGAAAGTTCCTCAAGAGACAAAAACTTTATATTGGAAGGTATGTGCCGCAGCTTTCACCCAGATAAAATGATTCAACATGCTTTTGATGGATCATCTCACACACACGGCTTCACCTTGAAGCAGAGAAACTTTGCACTTTGAAACATGTTTGGAACACAGTAAATTCCTGAATGTACAACATAAGGCAACAATTTATATAATGTGTAGAAAGTTTCAATGTTGTCACTCAAAGACATTATGAGACAGAGCCAGGTTGATGTATCTTTTATGCAGAATACTATAAGTAATTGTGTCTATGGTCAACATAAGACACTATTTATACAAAATAATTTAGCTCTAAGATACTTGTAGTTTGTGTAATATAAATGCGTAAATTGTAAATTCAAAATCAGTGACGGCATTTGAACGCACTCAGAACAGTGCTTCTATTGAAAGACTTTTTTTTTTCTTTAAAAATTATTGTTGGTTGTTTCCTTGACATATGTGGGAGCAACATAATGTAGAAAAACAAAGGCCAACCAGGCTCGTATGCATGACTATGAATGAACACAGCCAATTCTAAGAATGGGCTTAGTTTCCCTATAAAATTAAAAATGAGTGATCTCAAACCATCATTTGCTTTCTTGGCAAATCTGAAACCTCTTTTTAAACCATCTCGCATAGTGTGCACCATACCATGGATTACCATTTAAGTATTTCAATGCTAGTTAAGGTTCATTTTTTTGTGTCTTTCTTTATCTACCGTATTTACTCGAGTAATAGCCGCACTGTTTATGAAGAAAACCTGAGGGTTCGCTTTTCCGCGGAGCATGCGGCTTGCCAATCACCGCAATCGGCAGCATGATTCCAGCGGTTTACAGGACGGAGATAATATCTTTGCGCGAAGATACCATCTGTGAAGATTGCATTTGTATGGAGAATCATGCTCTCGATCTAGTTATTTGCTATGTTATTTATACGCAACGCGATGATTGGCTGTATATGCGTTCTGCAAAAAAGGAGACACAAGGGCCTTGTTCATAAATAGTGCGGCTATTACTCAAGTAAATACAGTAGTTTGTATGTAACTTAACAGATATCTCCCATCAAATTACACCACCTTCAACACATGCAAACATACTTTTCTTGAAATAAGAGAGATAAGAGAAAACATGCAGGTGAGCTGGTGAACTTTCAACATCTTGACAACCCAAGGCTTAGGAACAAAAAAAAAAAGGGGGGGGGGGGGGGGGGGGGACAACACATGCAGGTCTCAAGCACAGCTCCCTCCTTGTTTTTTTTTTCAATAATGCAGTTTCCAAACATCAAAACCAAAGGGCACTAAATAAATGTAACTAGAAACTGCCTGGTAGACTTGGGTAATTCTTGCTTAAGGTTTTGGCAAATGTGCAATTATACTGAAACATTAGCATAACTAATGTGCTAGTTTAAACAGAGATAAGCTATCCCCTTGTGTATTTTTATTTTATTCATAAATAAAAAGGCAATATCTAGTGCGAACACATCTGTATGTTCCCCAGATCTCTAGCATGACTGTTCCCCACCCCCCTAGAAATAGATTGTTGAAACAAGAAAGCAGGAAGGTCAATTGGAAACTTTTGTTGTATGTGTGGATACTCCATGTATTATATCGTCTTCATGTTATTGAGAGCATCACAGGTTTTTCTTATAATGCATAGTATATGCTTTGCAAAAACTTTTCTGTAGCTCTGTTTGCCGTTATTTAAAACTTTGATCAGACCTTTTTCAAAGCAGTCACAGGGAAGATCTTCTTCGACTTTTGACATCCATAAGGAGAACTTTCACATCTGTAGGAAAATAAAGAGTAAAAATATACAAAATTACATAATTCAAAAAGAATTAAAAAAGAAACACAAAATAAATAAAAATGAAAGCTAACAGAGTCCTTTGAACACTGTGCAAACTTTTACCGTTGATGCATAAAACTGTGAATACTCAAAGCAAAAGAAAACAAAAGAACTTAGAATTATACAGGCAAGTTTAAAATGACAAAAGGATTGCCATTCTACAAGATGGACAGCTTTCAAATGTTAATACATGCTAAAGTAAGACCTTCATTAAATGAGAATGAGCCACCAAAACAAACAAAAACTCCATCAAAAACTGTCAGGATGGTAACAATTATTGGTCGCAAGTGTGTGTGCAATTTCCTGCATACAGTTCCTGCAGGAAAGCCTGATTCATATCCTGTGTGACACATCATTGAAAAATATGTAACAGTGAAGTTCACATGACAAAAAGGCCAGTGAACTGATCGATTAGTTTTACACTGAACTGAATAATAGTTCACACACAAATACAAGAAATTATTTTTTTTAATCAGCTTATCGGTTAGATTATGGTTTAAAATACAGATTGGTGCACAGAAGGAAAGCGGTAAACAAGTGCTCGGTTTTGTTTTTTGTTTCCTGTTTATTGATGCAGTCTACATGTCCTTCCAGGTGCTGTTCTGCCACTTACAATTAAAAATGAAGTCTATATACTATGCACTTTTCTTTTATCTTGTTATCAAGGTGACAATGATTTGTGCTGGTCTTAGGAAGGGTGGGAAAAAGAAGTCATGCAAAGCAAGCCACCAATCTTCAGTACTCCTGCATTTATGAGTGCATGTCGTGGAACACCAAATAGGTTTTAGTGTTTGTCCCTTTTGTTCTTGCTATTAAGGGGTACTAAGTTTTGCTTAGTCCAGTGAATGCATAGACAACTCTTCTGAGCCATACAAACCAGAAAACATAAAGGATGGTTGAGGATCACCCCATTCGCTGCACTTACAATGTCCTCAGGACAACAGGAATAAGAAATTTCAAAGATTCAACTTTATAAGCATTTCCAGACACAAAAAAAAAATGGGAGAAGTAAAAGGTGTTCTGGGGCCATAACCAGTGCTGGTCTCATCTACACCTTCCTTGTCTTTGTTATTTGTGCACTGTTTCCAGTTCTATCATGAACCAACTTGCCTGCATCGCCACTTTGATCCATTACATTTCTTCTACGGCAGGTCCTTCCACGTGTACTAACGACATCACCAACCAGGCCATCTTTTGCGTCAAAACCAGCGCTTGCCCAATCTACACCTTCATCGTCTTTGTTATTTGTGTGCTGTTTCCAGTTGTATCATGAACCAACTTGCCTGCACCACCACTTTGGGCCATAATCTACACGGCAGGACCAAGCGCGGGACCGGGACATCATCGCCTGCTGCGAATAACCAGCTCTGCACCGCTGACCAATCGCAGCAGGCAGTACCTTGATCCCACCATTTAGATTAGGGCCCCTGGTTGTGAAAAATATCTGCTAGTAAATCCCATGAGAATGCTTGATTAGCTCAGCTGTAGACATAATATAAGAAAAAGAATGAAACTTGAAATCTGCTGAGAATGATAGAAGCTTCCCTGTTAACGCAACTGAATCAACATATTGTGAGGAATCGGACCCTCAATCAACCATGTGGTAATAAGCACTTATGTTGGTATGCTCGTCGGCCAGTCCAGACTCTGAAGTCCCATTCAAAAGTATTTTTCAGTTCACCTTCTATGTGTAAAAGACAACTGTAAACAAAACATGATCTTTGGCTCTTTCTCATTATACTTAAGAACTTGTAAAACCAATTCATTGGTTGATTAATCGAGCTAAGATTTTTAATAGGCTCCTAGCTGTAGCAATTAGTCAGTTCAAATAGATAAGACTACTACAAGAATAAACACAATACTATTAATAAAAAAGATGTTATGGGGTGCTTCATTTACGTAAGTGGCACCGAAAGTTCTCTACCCAAATATGAAAAGCAATAGACACTTTTCAGAAGTTTCCATAGCTACTCTGTCCAGAGTCGGCGGCATCACAATACCTTATCTGCGCCAGAAAAAGTGAACGTCTTTTGAAGAAAGTGATTCATGTATGATGCCTTCGATTCACGAAAAACTATTTTTTTTAATGTGTTTTTCGATGAGGTGGGAACCTGGTACAACGCCCAATTATTTTTATACAAAAATTTTTATACTTATTTTGTACCCACAAAAAGCTGGCAAAAACGAAAATGATGTTATGCTTTCTTGTCCTACAAGCCCTATAAAAACAAAAGTGATGTAAACAGTGACCCGTCAATTTCGGTAGCCTTTAGGAGCCAATCAGCGCAGTTGGCACGGTGAGCTATGGCGGCACTTTGCAAAAACGGCCATATTAGTAGTCGCCATCAACAACACCCAAAGGAAGACAAAGGCACGTTCACCAACCAGTTCAAGCACCCATTCAGTGACCCGAGGCCGATGGAATGGCGTTAGGTGTCATACCAATGCAACGGAAGACAAGATGCCCATCAGCAAAGTGACCAGAAGACGACAATCGAAATTCGAACTTCTACCTTCTGTTTGCCTAAAGTTTTTTTTTAGACATAGAAATCAGAAAACACAGTGTGTTTCCAACTTAATTTGAACGCAGCAATCGCTTTTGATTATGCTCATTTCTTACCATTTTCTGGCACAAAAAATAAATTTTTCACTGTTATTCAACTTCAAAATGTCATATTTCTGTACAACTCGCATTCAAGAAAGAGGAGTGTTTCTTTAGCCTCTGGCTTGTACGTGATGTCATGTAAAATCTGTTTCTCCCCAACCTTGGAATGTCACAAGTATGACTCAAATCAAATAATGAAATGAAATAGTTTATTTTCCCATTCAACAAAAATGGGAGGAGGCCAAAGAAAAATGAAAGCCGTTTACAACTCCCTGTAAGGCCGAATTAGAGCGCAGCTCTTGAGGAGGAGGGGGAAGGGTACTGAGGTCACGTGACCTGGGGGAGAGGTCACATGACCTGGGGGAGGGGTTTTGTGACCCGTCCTCCCCCCCCAAGGTCACGTGGGGGGGTCACGTGATCTGCGGGGCTGTCACGTGACCTCAGGGGGTCACGTGACCCCCAGAGAAAATTTTCCGCTAGATTTAGCAGGGAAATTTTTCCGCTAGATCTAGCGGAGAAATTTTTCCGCTAGATTTAGCGGGGAAATTTTTCCGCTAGATTTAGCGTGGAAATTTTTCCCCTACATTTAGCGGGGAAATTTTTCCGCTATATTTAGAGGGGAAATTTTTCAGCTAAATCTAGCGGGGAAATTTTTTCCGCTAGATAGACCCTTTCCGGAATTCAGACTGGCCACTTTGATCACTATCATCATCATCTGAAAACAGCATATGTGCTATACTAATGGCGGCCTTCTGTTTACTGATGAAGGAAGAAGTCGAAGATGCTCCTAAGCAGATAATTCGAGGCCTATACATTCTCGATGTTAGCGCGGCGTGAAGCGGGAATTGGACGTAAGAGCTGCGTAAGCGTTCGTTTCTAACTCGGTCCCAGTCAATCTGTTAGTAGCACTCACTCGGCCTCAAAGCTCCTTGATGTATAGAACTCTATTAAGGCGTCTATGTGGGTTGGCGCTTCGTTCCGACTGGCTGCATTTGTTTCGCCATTGACACTAAAAGAGATTGAAAATAATTGTAGTGAGGTGCACATTCTCATTTACCATTGACCTTTAAGTGATGGTGCCCCATTAAATACTGCAGACCACAGGTTCGTTGCCGCCATTAGTATAGTAAAAGATTAACCGCCATTTGAGTCACCAGATGGCATTGAATTCCGGAAAGGGTCTATTTAGCGGGGAAATTTTTCCGCTAGATTAAGCGGGGAGATTTTTCCGCTAGATTTAGCGGGGAGATTTTTCCGCTAGATTTAGTGGGGAAATTTTTCCACTTTAGCGGGGAAATTTTTCTGCTAGATTTAGCGGGGAAATTTTTCCACTAGATTTAGCGGGGAGATTTTTCCGCTAGATTTAGCGGGGAGATTTTTCCGCTAGATTTAGTGGGGAAATTTTTCCACTTTAGCGGGGAAATTTTTCTGCTAGATTTAGCGGGGAAATGTTTCCACTAGATTTAGCGGGGAAGTTTTTTCGCTAGATTTAGCGGGGAAATTTTTCCACTAGATTTAGCGAGGAAATTTTTCCGCTAGATTTAACGAGGAAATTTTTCCGCCAGATTTAGCGGGGAAATTTTTCCGCTAGATTTAGCGGGGAAATTGACCCATAATGCACCGCGTGGTTACGTCGACGCCGCTAAGTCGGAAACGGGCGCCTAAGAGCTGCGCTCTAAAAAGATTATAAATCAGCTATTAATGGGACAGTCTGATATATATCATGCATGCATTAGAAAGCACTCACTGATGTTGGCCACAGCCGTACATGACTGGCTGAGATCCTCCAGAGTCGACCAAGAACAATGAATGGCTCTGGCCAGCTGCTATGTCAGAAACCAGTTCATTCCTGGGCATCTGAACAAAAAGTCAGTTCATTAAACCCAATGCAATTAGTTGTCATGGCAATCGTGTGGCATTAAAGTTACTGTATTTTTCAATGTGCAAGTCGTGGATTTTTTACAAAATTTCTGTCCTATAAAATGGTGACTCATTTGCGTTGTAGGGACCTTAACTGTGCAAATTTGCTGCAGGGGTTATATTTCTTGTTTGATTTGTTGACAAGAATGTTAAACCTTCTGCATATATCGTGATCACAATACACATATGCCGGCTCATTAATGCAGCATTGCTGCACCAACCGTACGGGTATATAAGGCTGACTTAAATACCACCTTTTTTTTCGTGAAAACACCCGTTTATAGAGGGGTGAGACTTATAGACCGGAAAATATGATAAATTAAGTTATGTAGTTGCAAGTGTTGAGTGAAAAGAAAAAAAAAAGAAAGCATACACATAGTTTACCTCTTTTGCAATCTATACATTGAAATAGAATTTAAAAAATTATTTTAGAAATTCTAGGTGGTAAAAATGTAAGATTAGATACATTCCACAACACTACTTTTGCCGGCCGACTCCAGAGCAGAACTGAACCTTCAAAATACAAATTCAAATAAGGGACTGAAATGCTTTCAGCATTTTGTGGTACATTTAAGAGGATAACTACAACAATACTTTTAAAAAAAAAAAAGCAAGCTAGCTGGTGGTGGTTTATGGTAATAAAACCCGAGACTCGGGAACACAGAAAGGGACATTGTGTTGTGTTCGTCCCCTTCTGTGTTCCTGAGTCTCGGATTTTATTACCATGACATATTTAAGAGGCTTGAAGATAACCTGAATTTGTTATCCTTATAGTTAACAAATAAAGTCACCATAGCCCACCCTTTGATGTCCAAAATCAGCTGATGAGATCTGCCTGTTTCAACGACTTTCCCATAGAGCTGACGTACAACATTTTCTTACATAAAGAGAGGCCCTCTAACTTGAAAAAATTGCCCAAGCTTGATCTAGAAGTTGAAGTGCCACGAACAAACCTACATATTGCAATATATTTTTCTTGAATTGAAAAGAGACACCGAGACAAATGTTGATTATATCAGCTAGCAAAAAATAAATCTGGCCCAAGAACATGATTCATGCCTGCATTTTCAACATGCATATCACATGTGTAAATGACGTTCCAACCCAACTGCAATGCTTTCTTATTCTTTCCACAGCTACAAGGAACAGCTGCAGTAAAAGATATAAATCTCAATTTTATTTGCCTTGAAATGCACTGAAGCGGCCCCTTCTGCAGGAGAAGGTGGCACAGGACTCACGTGAACTAGCTTGGGGGTGGACATACACTTTGATGCAACATTGTGACCCAGTTGAAAGGTGTCATTCAACCCCCAGCTGAGGACGCTGAAGCGACTGGTAAGTGCCAAAGAGTGTCCGTGGCCTGCGCTCACTCTGAACACGCCTGATTCGCTCAGATGCTTCATGAGGCAGGGTTGGGCTCTGCACACAAAATGCCAGCACAGAGTCATCAGTTTGCCAATCCGTGCAGTAACTAATTTGGGAAAGGGGTCTATGCGATGGGGGAAATTCAAATCGTTAGTCAAAACACCTCTAAGTCACAGCATCAACCAGGATAGTGGAAGAGAGAGAGTGACCAATTTAATCTTGTTCTCTCCAAAGAAAAGCTCCAAAAGCCTTAGTTGATGTCCTCTCCACAGAGCAATGTACTAAGCCATTACCATTTTAAATGGGAAAAGCATCACGAGTTGCAATTTCTCCCTTTCTTCTAAACTTTTATGTTAAAGAATTAAACCTTGAGCACTTTTAAATAGAACTGAATGCAACTATTTGTTTATACTTCAATTCTTTCACAGCAAAAACTGCTCCACAGGCATGCATGCACAATGCACTGCATAAATTTCCATTTCTTAAATACCTAGCATGTAGTTGCCCGAGCCACAGTGATACACCCCTGAAAAGGATTCCTTTGGAACTGAAAAGGCTTGTCCTGAAAGTGCTACTACAGGGTGTCACAAAAGAAAATTTACACGGTCTTTTTTACCGCAAAAATAAACTAGGCATCGGCGAACGCCCATTCTCCGCCCAAAGGTAGAGCTAGAGGTCACAACCAGATTCCAAAGTTTCAGCCCGATCCGATAACTTAATCAAAAGTTATAAGTGATTTTCTGAAAAGTTCAATGGGAAAATGGAGCCCATTTTCGGTTTCTGGTGCCATAGAGTCCCATGTGTTTGAAAACTCTATCGGCCGCCATTTTCCCATTGAAATTTTCAGAAAATCACCTATAACTTTTGATTAAGTTATCGGATCGGGCTGAAACTTTGGCATCTCGTTGTGACCTTTAGCGCTGCCTTTGGGCGGAGAATGAGCGTTCGGCGATGCCTAGTTTATTTTTGTGGTAAAAAAGACCGTGTAAATTTTCTTTTGTGACACCCTGTACATGCATCCACCAAGAATGTACACACAACTTAGCTGGGCACTGTCCCTCATCTGAATGGCCAGGCCTCCTGCCTCCTCAAGTACTATAAAATGGTTAACAATGCCTATCCCAAATTATGGCAATAATTTTGGATGGGCAAAATGCCATGCAATAATTTTGCATGGCCTTTTGGATGGGCATTTGGATGGAATTACAACAGCATAAACACAAACTTGATATTCTATAATAAGTTCTACCATCGTCACTAAAATCATAACCAAATACTACCATACTTTTGTTTACCTAGCCATATGGGCCCCATAAACTACACTGTCACAGACGTCTAAGAATTGTCCTCAAGCCTAAGATGGGGCACAGTGTCGCATGTCTCTTACAGTCAAAACTGCTATGCCATTTTCAGCACTTAAGACAAAAGACAGACCCCGAAATGAGATGTTTTACCTGTCAAGGTCATCGCCATGCCCCAGCTGGCCGTACGATCCCTTGCCCCAACTCCAGACTTGTGTTCGGCATCCCTGCTTGACAGGTCGCACTTTTCTTGAATTTGTAGAACGTGAATTCTTCTTTGTCTTTTCCCCCCGACCTTCTGTTTTGTCGGAGTCACTCTTCGAAGTTCCGTCTGAATCAATGAACTCAAACGACTCAGCAGAGCTGTTCTGGGAGGTCCCACCAAGACGGGGAGTGAAAGAGACGAAGTTCAAACGCTCCACGACTGAGGAAGTAACACGAGTTAACATGTTCTTGACCACAGCCGATGAAGAGCTCGATGAGCTTTCCCGACTCGGTGCACCAACAAACTCTTCGGGCACAGAATGACAGTTCTTGTCTCGAGGTTTGTGACCAAGCTGCCTATCCAGAAACTCCATAGCATACTCCGGATCTATGATGGAGGACGTCCTCTTAACTGGTACTGAGGCAGATCGCAAGCGGTCCGTAAACTGTGGCGCTCTTCGTAGCTGTACTCCTTCGAACACATCCGGCTCTACAGCTGCCTGTTCCAAGACAGTCTCGGCATTCCTTCCCTGTGTTTCACTAGAGGTCCCACATCCTCGTGCCGCTGGTTCTGTTTCGGCTCTGTCCCTAGTCCTTTCAAGAGCATCAGATGAAGTCACTGCTTGTGACTGAGAGCTGCTCCCACCTGTAGAGTCCACCGCTGTATCCACAATGGTCAGACCATCTGGCTTTGGATTTTCTTTGGATATGTGGTCTTCCTGATCATCAGAGATTTTAAAGCTAGAGCTGTCCCCACCTTCTTTGCCTCCATTAACCAGAGAGTGCATCGATAGAACGGCGTCCGAATCTGTTTGCAAATCTACAGTTTCAGCTGAAGCATCTACAGAGGTTTCCGACTGTGCATGAGCACATGGCAGGCCTAGAGGGCATGTAACTGGTTTTGTGGTACAGGCTGCACAAATCACAACCGGATCATTAACATCTGCCTCCGGAGAGCTTTCTGTAACAGCCAAGCTGTGAGTTCCACCACATGCAACTGAAATTACCTTCTTTCCCCGAAGAAAATCTATCCGCTCAGGCATGCTTCTCGTCTGAATGCTGAGACCAAGTTGTGGACCTGTGCCCCAAGCAAACACCTCATACCTGCTCGTTACAGCCAGAGTGTGAGATGGACCACAAGCCACATCAACAAGAATAGCGCGACTAGAGACTACAGAAGAGCACTGTTGACACTTCCCAAGCTGCTCATAAACTTCAACAAGTTCTGGACTGTAGATTCCTTCCTTGAGAGAGCCACATTGACCATGGTCATTGTGCCCCCACATGAATAAGAGTCCGTCAACCGTCAAGGCAGCACTGTGGTTCGGACCACATGCTATGGCCCTCACTTTTGACTGTATGCTGCAGATGTAGAAAGGAATTGAGGTATGCTCTACTTTGTCACCAGAACCAAGCTGCCCGAAGTCATTCTTCCCAAAGGAAAACACATCACCACTGTCAGTCAAAAAAAGGCAGTGGTTGGAGCCAAAGCTCAGACATGTCACTGTGTGCCGGCTGATGGAAATCGATGACAAAGGGTTGTTGCAGGTCCAGAGAATTCCCTGCAGCTCGGGCGACTTGTCATCGTCGGATTTTCTGAAATGATGACAGGGTTCTCAGTTAAATGGCGAAAGTCGCACGGCGGTTACGCTAAAACCGACTGCCCCATTTTCCTATCTCTACAGCGTACACTTCCAAATACAGCTGGAGGCAAGACAGCAAGAGCAGGGCAGAAATCATTTTAAAACGCGAAAAGTACGTCCTGGAGGTAGAGCTATCCGCAACAAGAAATTCGAGGACTCCAGGTTGATGACACTTGCTACGGAGAGCGAATTCCGTTACGACGCTACGGGCAAATGTCTAGATTAATGCACACGTCGAGTCAGATTTCAGAGTTAAGAACCCCGCTCAACTTTCAAAACGCTCGGCCTAACAGAATGACCACTGGAAAAGTGTGTGTCAAACATAACTGAATGACCACGGAAAAAGTCTCTGTCAAACTGAATCAGCACCGAACTGCGGATGACGGAACTGCATTTATGGTAGCACTTTGACCGTCAAAATGCCTCATATAACACACACAGACAAAACAAAACAATATGCAATTAAATATGGCAAAGCTATTTCCCCTTGAGGAATGGCAAAGGACATTCTCGACAGAGGAACACTAAAGATATGACTACCCTCCCAGCGCTCTCCGGGAGAAAGTAAATCAACTTACTCCTCGATCAGGCCCATTCCGTGCTCTTATTAGCAAAGTCAAAGGTAGTAAGCCACGTCATGTGGAACAAAGGAATGTCATGCACCTTTCCTCTGAATAACTGCATTACTACGGGCCAGCAGTGCGACACAAATTTTGCAGCACATACGAACAGAAAGCTAAGGAACAAAACAAAACGGCACCACAAACAAGAACAAATAAGTGAATGAATGGAGAAATATGGCGGCTAACGTTTTCCAACAGGCGGTATCTTGCGCCATCTACCATATGGTGTCTGAATATCATTTGAATAGTGAATATAAAGGAGAATCGTGTTTTTCCAACCGTGTAAATATTTAACAAAAAACACCGCACAAAGCTTAAACACCGTGAGAATGTGAGGCTAGCGGTTGAGATAGAACGCGAAAATATGACAACATTACCTAAATGTCGAGGACAGGACGATCGTCATTTATATAATTCTCCTCCAACACCGTAACTTTATCAGCACGCCCCATTTCCACGATATTTGAAAACACGACTTTACCTAGATCAAAAGATAATTGAGAAGAACGAAATTTCTTTAAGAGCCGATATCCACCTAAACCTAATATTGTCAAAACAAGAAATGACATCGTGGGTGCCTGTAACATCTATTTCAGTAAAACTTCTCAATCAAGAAAGAAAACAATATACTCTTTCTTGCTGATAAGTGTTTTCCACTTATATAAATCTCACAAGTGTCCACAATGTCAGTTCTTGTTTTGACGATAGTAGGCTTAGATAGACGTCGGCTCATAGAAAAAATTGCGGTGGCTTATACTCGGCTATGCTTATGCGCACAAAATCAGAGGCGCTATCAAGCGACTCCGGTGCAGCGTCAGACTTGGCTAGTGCGCAACGGAGGCGCACAGCTGGGCACGCGGCGGCGCCAGCGCGTCTGCCATGGTCTGCCGCGGCTATGACGTCACTCCCCTGGAATGCGCAGACTGGCGAGGTGGGCAGAGACGTCACACGGCGCGCCAGCTGTGCGCCGTGTGACGTCACTGCTCCACGCGCATGCGCAGCACGAAGCACGGCTCATTATGCGAGCCACGCGAAACTGCTCAACCTCGGCCAGTGTAGATCACGCTACAAAACGCTAGCGTCACAGTCTCACGGAGTTCGAGCTTTCTGCGATGCATAGTGCATTTACCTGGAGACTGGGTCGACTGAAGCGGGAGGCACTCACTTGATCGAATGACGTTTTAGCGAACGCCCACGTTTCATCGAACGACACTTTAGCGAATAGTCAGACGCCGCGAAGCGGCGTTTTCGGGTGGGCCAAATGGGTTCACATTTTTGTAATGAGTTGCCGTAGACTGTCGCCGCGAAGCGGCGTAAAGCGCAGCGCAACGGATGGGTTAACGCGCGCCCCCGTTATTCGCTAAAACGACCATTCGCTCAAATGTCGCCTTTCGCTAAAATGTCATTCGCTCTTCTGATATGGACCCGACTGAAGCGTACTTGAGTGAATGAAACAAACTCTATGAAGCCGCCAATAATTTTGCAATTCGGCAACTTCGTTTTTTTTTTTTTTTTTTTTTTTTTCTTTATCAAGTACGGTTTATACATCTACATATTTTCGATTATTTCCTCTTCGGAGACCACGTACAATGATGAAAGTTTGAATATAGGCGTCTAAAATGCCGAGGCTTGATCTAAAATGGCCCGTAAAATAAAATTTTCGACAAAGGTGTATTTCACAGGTCGGTTTTACCTTGTCCAGAAAACTTGCCAGGGTCAACGGCGGAGGAGGCAGACGACCGAATCGAGCGGCGGGGCGCGTTTGGCACGTGTTGATAGATGGCGTTGGGAGCAAAATAGAGTAACTGCACAGGCTCTGCTTGCAGAGCCAGAGTATCGCGTTCCTTTTCCTTTCGTCGCCAACTTCGTGTTGGCGGAGAAGCGGTCACGTGCGCCGATCTGGATCCGACCTTCCTGCGGGAAAGCGACCTTGCAGGCGCCGAGTTTCGGGAGGAGTGTGTTTCAAGTTGCCATGCGTTTGTGAAATAATCATCCTACGCCAAAATAGAACGAACTGGAAGGTTCCTTGACCATTCAACATTATGTGTAGTCACTGGACACAGTATAATCGCGTTGTTTTATAACGCGAGCGATGTTTTTAAACATGTTTTCGAAGTGTGCGAAGCAAACGACGCGGAGGACGATCGCGTAGCTCGCGTCTTCGGCGCTCGCGGAGGGATACGCGAGTGGTACTTCCGTGCACTTCAGACGAAAGGACGACATTTTCGTCGGTTACTACATTCTACCGAAAGCATACAGAGAAGGCGCACGCACGGCGTGTCGCCGTGCGTGCGCCTTCTCTCGGGGAGGAGGAGAGCCTGCGTACACTCAAAATGGGAGAGGGGACGCGGGACGTATTGCCAAGAAAAGTTGTCGCGGAGTATAGAGAAGAGTGGGCTTGGATTCGACCTTTCGTACGGTAAGCTAGGCCAAAATATTCAGCAATCCTTACCGGGATTGATGTATGCGGATGATATTGTACTAATTAATGGCTAACAACAGGACAGAGTTGCAGGAATTAATGAGCATCTGTGGTAAGGAAGGAGAGGAATTAGGTTTAGAATTCAGTAGTGAAAAATCAGCAGTCATGATTTTTAACTATGATGAAGTTGAGAGGCTGAAAATACAGAATATTACAGTTGAGAGAGCTAGCAAATACAAGTATCTAAGAGTATGAATATGTGACGGTGCAGAATATCTCAGTGAGCATGCAAAGTATATAATAGGTAAGGGCAACAGAAATGCAGCTGTAATGAAAAATAGAGCACTTTGGAATTACAACAGGTATGAGGTGGTAAAAGAGATTTGGAAAGGGCTCATGGTCCCTGGCTTGACTTTTGGAAACGCAGTGCTATGCATGAAATCCGAAGTGCATGCAAGACTAGAAATAAAACAGCGCGGAGTAGGTAGGCTGGCTTTGGGGGCACATTGCAAAACGCCAAACCAGGGAGTACAAGGAGACATGGGATGGCCGTCTTTTGAGAGCAGGGAAGCGGTGAGCAATATAGAATTTGAGGATCGGTTGAGGCAAATGCATGGGGACCAACGGGCACGAAAGGTTTTCAGCTATTTATACATGAGGAGCATAGACACAAAGTGGAGACAGCGCACTAGGAAATTAAGAGGAAAGTTTTTAGGCTATAGTGGAGATACGGAAGAGCAGGTCTCAGTTAAGAAGAAAGTTAAGGCCACAGAAAGAGATAGGTGGCTACGGAATGCAGACAAAGACGGCTCTGGAAAGCTATAGATTAAACAAAACAGTTATTGCCAAAGAAAGCATTTATGACAATTCTAGGGGAAGCTCGTTGTTGTTTGAGGCGAGGACGGGTGTTCTGTGAACCAGAACATACAGAGCGAGATACCAGGAAATGGATACAGTGTGCACTACTTGTGGAGAGGAGGACGAGACGGCTGAGCACTTGATAATCTACTGTAAAGGGCTTCACCCTATGCCTACCGAAGACAACATGGATTTAATCAAGTCATTGGGTTTTAGAGACAGTGAAGGGAGAGTGGATTTCAAGACTGTAGAGATTACCAAGCAAAGATTAAGTGAATGGTGGCAGAAAGCGAGGGAAAACTAGGTATTTTCTTATTAACTGATGGCAAGGGGGTTTTATAGCCCCACTTTCTTTGCAGTGCGGAGTGAATATAGATTTCACATTTAAATATTCCGAGCTTAAATGGTAAAACAAAATGGCTAGGTGGCATAAGCTACCGCCCGATCCAAAGGGCTCAGCCGCATTCATCCATCCATCCATCCGGCGGACTGAAGTTGTGGAACTCCCTTCCGCGGGAGTTCGAGAACTGAGGTAATCTAAAGTCCGTTGCAACCTAAGAACGAAGGGCGAGGGTAAGGCGGGCCGGGGAGGAGAAACCAGACGGAACGCTAAAGCGTTCCGTCTGGTTCCTCCTCCCCGGCCCGTCGTTCCTGACGTCACCGCAACTCCTGAGCAAGAAGTAGACGACTTGCTCTCCGCATATCTTCTCTGCTACGCACGCCGCAGCACACCGCCTCACAGCCACGTCATTCGCGCATCCGGGGCTCTTGCAGAAGCGACGGTCGCTTCCCGCAGTGCGGCCTTGGATTTAACATGGCCGCCCTGGGAGCACCATTGCGATACTCTACTCCGCAAGCTCCGTACCATGCTCCTGTGTTCCTACCTTCTGCCGAATACATTTCGCAGCATCGAATCTATTCTTCTCGGCAATGCTTGCTGAGAAGGGCAAATTCGATGGTACAAAATGTGTGCTGCAGAAAGTACGGGGACAGGAGCATGGTACGGAGCAATGGCGGCTGGTACAGTGCCATATGATGTCACCTACAAGGCATGTATGCAGTTACTCTATTTTGGAATACGTCGGAAGGTGTAGCCGACCAGCGAAAGAAAGCAGACGACATGCAGACGAAATCCCTCGGCAGAAATAGCAATGTTGTTATGCAACCAAGTTTTTTTTTTTTTTTTTTTACTTCAAGTTTTGCTTTTATTGTTTGCAATATTTTGAAACCAAAGGTACATTATTAAAACAGTATAAGGAGTATTCACTGGACTCCATATTTCTGGGCGCTGTTTAGAGCGCATGCTCAGAACGAACTCACATTATACAAGGTTGCTAAGACCGGCAATCTTGATGGTGTGGAATGCACGTTGCAAAAGAACTGTGGAAGCTCGCCATGAACACGCGCTCAGCAGTCGCGCACACGGCTATAGGAAGCGAGCAAGCCGGCCGTGTCGCGGCGGTCGCCTATTGTTCGCCGCGACCTGGCGGTAGCCGCCGCAGGAGCATCGGGCAGCAATGGCGACGAACAGCACGGCGGACAGTGTCCCCGTCGTGATTACGGCGGAATTTAAGGCAGTTAAGAGTTCGGAAAGTTCCTTCAGAAGCCGGTGCCGCCGGTTCAGAACATACCTCGGCGAAGTCACTCACGAACTCGCTCACTCACACTCACTCACGCTCACCGCGTCATGGTGAAGGGCTGTGAATGACTTCGTGAACTCGGACGAAGTCGTGATGTGAAGGGGATGTGACTTCGTGAACGCGGAAGGAGTCGTGATGTGAATGGGCGTGACTCCGTGAACGCGAAAGAACCCGTGATGTGAAGGGGATGTGACTTCGTGAACGCGGAACGAGTCGTGATGTGAACAGGCGTGACTCCGTGA